AGCTGACTTTTGTTGTATCTGAGGAACTGAGGTTGGCCTGGAAACCTAGCTCCGCGGTTTAGAGTGTTTACTGGTCTCGCAAAGGATGTTAGTTTGATTTATAGCACCCATGTGGTTGGTTGGTTGGTGTAGTTGGTTGGTGGCTTAAACTGCCTATAACTCCAGTTCCAGGAGATCTGATGTCCTTTTCTGACTTCCACAGGCACTCCACTCAAGTGCTCAGCCCACACTCAACACACACACACACACACACACATACACAAACACACACAAATTGAAAATAAAATCTTTTCAAAGGAATTAAAGGGTTTAGACGTCTGAAACTCAGGGTCTAGATGGAATACAGATTAGTATACTACAGCCTGTGGGCTTTAGTACTGCTTGGTGCTGGGTTTTTGCTTGTGTTTTAAGATTTATTTACTTATTTATTATGTATGCAGTGCTCTGCCTGCATGTATACCTGCAGACCAGAAGAGGGTACCAGATCTCATTATAGATGATTGTGAGCCATCATGTGGTTGCTGGGATTTGAAGGCATGACCTCTGGAAGAACTGCCAGTGCTCGCAGCCTCTGAGCCATCTCTCCAGCCCGACACTTGGTTTTGTAAATAAGCTAGAGGATGTGTGTTTTCTGTTGTGTGTTGTTTGGTGACTTGATGCTAGAGTGACAGACCTGAATGTTGTGGAGTATTTGCTATTGTAGTTGGCGGTGTAACTTGGGAGAATGGGGCCTAAATATCAGGTCAATTAAAGTCTCATGGCAATAGCCAGCTTTATTCAGAGCATCAGACAGTTCATATTCTGGGGATGAAAAAGAACCACACGAGTAAAGTGTATAATCACAAGGGCAAGCTGCATGTGGCTGCCAAGCCACTCATGGCAAAAGCATGTTTTCCCATAAAGGCATGTAAACAAATAGCCATCGCCAGTTGTCATACACAATCTGAAGTGAACTCACTCCTGTGCACGACACCTAGGAGGGGCACAAAAGAATTTTCTGTGATTTGAAGAAACTAATGTCACTTAGACTCTTATTTCATTTTCTTGGGGTTTTCTCACAAGCACTCAGAATTCCCTCAAGCAACCTCATTCTTGGACTGTGTTCTGACAAAAGAGCCTCTCGAACACACAGCCTGAGACGTTTGTCACCTGCTTCCTCATAGAGAAAGCTCGCAGGCCACTGGTGTTGGGAGACACAAACCCGTTAGCCTGTCAGCAGAAAGACAGTGAGTCATTCCTATCTGGGAGACTTAGAGTCAGCACTCATGGAAGTAAACAGCTGCCATCCAGGAAGTCATAGCCTCCCTGAAGCCTTCTCCCTTGAATGTATAGTTCAGTCACAGAGAGGTGGAGCAGACCAGACGCATTAGTACTTCCTGAGAGTGTGTGGCCCACAAAGTCTGTAAATGCATTTACATCTCTCCTCTCCTGTAGCCTGTTCTGCCCTAAGTGTAAACACTTCCTAAGTGGGAGGTTCCAGGATAGCACGTGTCAGGTTCAGGCTTGGAGGACCAGAGGGAAGAGCAGACTCAGAAGTCTAAGGAGAAGGGTCCGGGAAAGGAAAACAGCTCTTGTTACTGGGTCCTGGAGAAGCAGAGAGAGGTTGGCCCTAGTAGCCTTCTCCTCCCAGAGCATACAGGTGTCTAAAGCAAGCATCAGGGATGCCGAGGTTTTGAAGGTAAGCGAGCGTCTGTGCTTATGAGTTGCCGCTTGTTGTGCACCGCGTGCTGCGTGTCCTACAGACGAAGACACTGGAGAGTCAGTCTCCTTACTGCCCCATGTCTGCAAGTGGTGTGCCGTGATGTTTAGAATCTCGGCTCTGCCGTTTCTGGCTTCAGTCTTTAGACAGTAGGTCTCCGTTGTTCATGCTTCACGCTCTACACTTGGGTTGCTGAACAGCTTTCCTGTGTAGAAAAGATTTTACATGATTAACAAGTTGAGTTTTGTTGGCAGTAGCATTAATTGTTAAGTATTCATTGGTGGAAGTGCTGGGTACCTTATCTTTTGTCTTTAGAGATTGCCTTGTTAATGAGAATATCATTTTTTACAAATTAGAAATCCCAGCTTTAGTGGGTTTTGGTCACAGATTGACCTGTTTTCTTCTTGTATAATGCCTGAACCATTCAAGCATGGGTAATTGTGGGATGGAGAGGGCGTTCTGCAGATATGTCCAGCTCTCTGCATTAGGAAAGAATGTGCACTTTGAGGGGTTTTAGTTGCTAGATATTAAATGGATTCATAAGAACATTTTGAGTTTAAAGTTTAAAATTTGAAGATACTGTTATAAACAAAGTGGCAGTGTATAGTTCTGTCTCAGTTGGGGAGTAGATTGCCCTTTGCTAGGTTGTTGGGTTAGTGTGTTGCTGTGTTAGTAAACGTTCCACCGAATCCTTGAGCTGTGTATTTCTCGTGTGCTTTCCCCTCGTGTGTTTGTGTCGTGCGTAAAATGCAGCGCTAGCAGCATGCTGTGAGTGGAGAAGCCAGTGCAGGAGTTTCTGTGGGAGAGTCGCCACATAGACTGCTGGGGCTCTGGCCCTAAGCTTCCCTTCCGGAAGGGAGGCGGGCGGGAGACTTACCTTCTCCAGAAGATCCGTGCCGTTGGAGTCCTGCCTGTCTGCTGATCTCGTTTCTAGGACATGTTTTATGTTTCTGTTGAAATGTCTAAATTTTATTACTTTAATTTTTTAAAATTTAATTACATTGTTTCCCCCTTTCTATTTCCTCCCTCCAACCCCTGCCATGCATCCCCCTTTCCTCTCAAACTCATGGCTTCTGGCGTCTTTTCCTTTCATTGTTGTTACATATGTATTTATGTATATTCCTAAGTGAATTGTATTTTTAAATTATTTTAAATTCATGTTGCTCACTACTGCATTTGGCAGTTACAAAGATAGTATCTTTTGTTGATTGGTTGTCTAGACATACAATTTTAAATATATGGAGACTGAACACATTTCTGAAATTCTGTGTAAATTTAAATATTTCAAAAACCCTGAAGTAATTTGAACTGTTGAGTACAAAATGAACTGGTCTCCTAAATATGTACAGATCGTGGCTTGTGACAGCGTGTGCATTCCTCTCTTGGTGACCGCCACACACCGTCGCTTGCTTGCTTGCTTCCTTCACAACAACTTGTGCAGCCCACTCTGCCGTACGTGAGGGCAGTGCTCAGGGACTCCAAAGACGGAAGCAGGGTGACAGCTTTAGCAGCTCGTTTTTGGCCACTGTGTGTTTTTTTTAATTACTCGGGACTGCTGGAAAGGGGAGAGAAAACAGTCTCGGGCAGTCCATGTCCACTCTTTGAAAAGAAAACTCTACTATGTGGGCTAAGTATCTCTCTCCTTTATGTTCACCGTAGTGGTCAAAGTGTTGGAGCTCGTCCCTGTCGCCCTGTTTCCCCTTGATTGTACATTTGAAGAGTTTTCCCCTCTTTGACTCTGTTGAAATGAGTATTTCATAGAATTGTTTTCCCGACTTACCTTATTGTATTATTCTGACAGACAATGCAATAGTAAATTTTCACATACTTTATCTAGTGACCAATAGAATATAATCAAGGATTTATTATTTACCAGAGAATTATATTTGGGATAGAGTTCTGTTAAAAATGAAGTGACAGCTGAAATGTTCTGTAAGTCTTTGACTATAATATCAGGATATTAGCAGGTCTTTTGTTATTTAAAAGTTCTTGTATTTTAGTGTTTTCATTTTGGACATAGAGAAATCTGACCTTTCACCTTGGCATTTAGTTGAAATACTCCCTTTAAGAGTCTTTATTTTGGGTGGCAGAAATCAGAACTCATTGTATAATATTTTATATGTATATATAAAATTGTGAAAGATTAAGTTTAATTTTTAAAAATTGTAAAGATTGCTCATATTTAAGACTAGGATGTAGCAGAGCTGGTCCAGTACTTGTCTGGTGGGTACGAAGCCCTGAGTTGGATCCCCAACACTTCATAAACTGGATGTGGAGGCACACCCTGCAGGCCATCCTTGAGTAGGTAGGGAGTTCAAGGCAGCCTGGGTATGAGACGGTGGAATCCCAGTAATTCCAGCTTCTCAAACAAACAGCTGTAAATTCTCAAAGCCTGGACAGAACCATGTAGTTGCCCAAGTATATGCCTTACCTCACTGGCTTCTTAGCAATTCAAATTTGTTTATATGAGGTACTTACATACCCTCCCCATCATAGTTACACCGCCATGAGCCTCGGGAAGACATTTCAAGCAGTGTTTTGGTTTTCAGATCCCATTATTAGAAACTATTTTATATGATGGAGTTTGTTTTGAGACAGCTGGACTTTTTCTTTTCATTTTATTTATTTTTCCTTGTTCTTTCCAAGGATAGAAAGGCAGAGTGTTGTAGACAGGGCCATGGTTATAGGTGTAGGACATTGTAGCAGGGCTTGTTGGGAGTGGGGGATGGGATTGAGCTCAACTTCCCAGAGCTAGGTTTTTATCTATGTACATTGTAGTCAGTTTAATTTGTAATCCTTTTAGATTCTATAGAGCTAGTTGGTTTTAACAGTTGTCATTTCTAAATGTTTATACAACTCTTATGGAAACATTGTATTACTAATGATGTTTATTAAATAGTTTAGCACCAACATTATTTAACTTCCTTTGAGCCATTTGACTTTTCAAAATTTCTTCTGAACAAAATAAAAAGTAACCATTTTATTTTCATGAAGATTGAACTGCCTCATCCTTTAAGTAACTTTGCATAGGGCCATTCAGGCAGGCGACTTCTGAACATTAAATCTTTCATCAACACAGTTACTTTAATTGGGAAGGAAAAAGAAAGCGGACCCAAGTCTCCTCCTTTTAATACTTGATCACGTGTGCTGCCGTTTTACCATTCATTGTTCTGAACTGCATGGGGATTGTGGTTTTAAAACGGATTGTAGAATTTTAATAATGTAAAAAGTTAGGAAATTTAGTATATCACAAAGGAAAACTTCTAGCTATCCTGACTTTTCAAAATTGTTCATTTGCTAGGTAAGTTCTCATCTACGCTCTACGAGACTGGTGGTTGTGACATGTCACTTGTGAATTTCGAACCAGCAGCAAGAAGAGCATCCAACATCTGGTAGGTGTGGAGACACCAGGAGTGTGTGTGACTTACGTTTAAAGGTTTAACTCTTGAAGTAGAGACGCATGTTTTAAAACGTATTTCTTTAAAAGATTTATTTTTTACGTATACAATGTTCTGCCTGCGTGTGCTCCTGCAGAGCAGAAGAGGGCACCAGATCTCAATGTAGATGGTCGTGAGCCACCATGTGGTTGCTGGAAATTGAACTGAGGACCTCTGGAAGAACAGTTAGTGCTCTTAGTCGCTGAGCCATCTCTCCAGCCCTATAAGCTGTATTTTTTTCTAACAGACAAAAACATTGTACACACTGCTGGTGTCCGCCGTGACGTTTTGGAATATTGTACGTGTTGTGGAGTGGCTATACCTACCCTGTTTATATGGCTATCTTATTTTAAACCACGGTCTTCTCTCACTTATTTTCAGAGTTATAATGAATTTTAAACCACGGTCTTCTCTCACTTATTTTCAGAGTTATAATGAATTGTTACTAACTGAAAGTTGCCATGTGCGATACAAATTATTTTGAAAACATTTATATGAAGTTTATTAATCATAATGCTTTTGTTTCCATAGAATTAAGGGTTTTTCTGTTGACGTTGTTTTGGTGTGGGGGCGGGAGAACCATATTTAAAATATGTTATTCTGTCTTAAAATAATTAAGTAAAAATTTTCATTAAATCTTATGGGATGGAGTTTGCCCGGTTCCAGATCTTACTAGATATCTGATGCCCTCGCTATATTGCATGATATAAAAAGCTTATCAGAAAACTAGCTACAATGAGGTTCAGACTCAAAAGTTAGTTTTCTTCTATTAAACAGTTTTCAGTTTTTATATTCTTTCAAGGAAGGAATTTGCAAGGTAATAAAAATGTTGGGAGAATACAAATAAATTAGATATTTGAACCTTATAGTATAGAGTGTATTGATTTTTTTCCCTAAAATTTAATCATATTTCCATTGTTAACTTAAAATCCCAAATGCCATTTGATTGTTATTTAAGCCTTCCATTTAATAACAGGCCATGTGCGTCTGTGTGGTTCACTTTTCTTTCCAAGTGCCTTTTAAAGCAATGGAGCCTTACTAGTTTAGCTGCTGATTCTGTGATGGTGGAAGCCTTGGGTACCACCCAGTCACTTTGCAGAAGAGCGTCCTGTCTGCTGGAGCTGTGGTAGAGCTTGACTGCACTGGCACATGCCGGACTGTTTTATGTAATAGATTAAGTTTATTTTGTCTGTACTATTCCGATCGGTTTAATTGCTTTCCTTAGCTTATCTATTTAAACAAAGTCTCTAAGAGCCTGTGATAGAGGCACTGTCATTGGTGTTACTGTTATTGGACGTTACTGATGGGAAACTGAGATCTGAAGATTTCAGTCATCTGGAGAGGTGGTCTGACCTCAGGTGCTGACACAGTGCTCTGGGTCACAACTTAGGAAAATGATGATTTTGTTTTTTTTTTTTTTTTTTTTTTAAAAACATTTATTTGTTTATTTATTTATTTATTATGTATACAATATTCTGTCTGTGTGTATGCCTGCAGGCCAGAAGAGGGCACCAGACCTCATTCCAGATGGTTGTGAGCCACCATGTGGTTGCTGGGAATTGAACTCAGAACCTTTGGAAGAGCAGGCAATGCTCTTAACCACTGAGCCATCTCTCCAGCCCCCGAAAATGATGATTTTGATGTTTATGTGGAAGAATGAAGATAGTATAAATGTTGCCTAAAAAAGCAAACAAAAATCACTGTTTAACAAGCTATTTACTCCCTAAAGCCCTTTTCATTTTATTTTAGTGACACGGATTCTCATGTATCAAGTTCTACCTCAGTTCGATTTTATCCACATGATGTGGTAAGTGTTCTCATTTTTTTATAATGTGGTACATTTTTAGATTCAATCTGAAAAGCATATTTATATAGCTAGTCATCAAATCATTCAAGTTAATGAAATTACAAATGTTACTTTTGTTGGAAATTATAGCAAAATCCCCTTTGTTTTGTCACCGTGAGTCTTGCACCCTCCCAGACTTTAGTTAGCCATACGTATGTGTGAGTCAGAAGTTACACTGGTTTATACTTTGCAGGTCTGAAAAGACCCACTTTCCATTTGTGTATTTGGTGTGTGGACTTGTGTGTGCATGAGAACATGTGCACATAGGGAGGTCTGAGCACACCGTAAGGGTCCTGGAGATCAAACTTGCCTTAGGCTTGGCAGCAAGTGCCTTAGCTTGCCGAGCCAACTATTGTATCCCGCAATTTCACTTTGAATAATATGATTTGGTGCTGGTTTTTAACTATCTGTTGATTATTAACTCACTTATTTGACTAGTGTATGTGTTGGTGGAAAACTGAGTAACATTATATGGAAAGTTATTGTCTGGGAGAAAATGGGGATTTTGTTTTTGGTTTTTTTTTTTTTTTGGTTTTTCGAGACAGGGTTTCTCTGTGGTTTTGGAGCCTGTCCTGGAACTAGCTCTGTAGACCAGGCTGGTCTCGAACTCACAGAGATCCGCCTGCCTCTGCCTCCCGAGTGCTGGGATTAAAGGCGTGCGCCACCACCGCCCGGCGAAAATGGGGATTTTAAAACACACCTTTTGCCATCAAGATCCATATAAGTCAAGTTGGAAAGCAGAAGGGGTGGATTTATTCTGAGCATCTGCCTAACGACTGCTTGAAGATGACTTCTGAGCAGGATTTAAGGCCGGGGCTGTGAGGAGGCGTAGAGCAGTGTGCAGCCAGTGGGTGTTGACTGTGTCTGGAAACATTTTGACATGACTGTAGGAATGCCATTGTAAACTATAGACAGGGACCCACGGTGCCAAGAGACGTTCTGTAATGTTGGGCACAGCCCCATAATGAAGATTATCTAGCCAGAAGCATTGATAGTGCCAGAATGGAGAAACCCTAGAATAGATAAGAAAATGTTTGGAGAAGTATCAATCAATATTTAAAGATCAAACCCAGAAGTTTTTCTTGACTGTTCTTGTGTGTTTGAATAGTAAAGATTTGCCTGCTAGAAGCAGGAGTGAAAAGATGATCAAACTGGTGTCTTCCACTTTTGAGTAGCATAGGAACCCGGAGACAACACAGTCCTGCCCTGTGCTGTGCCAAGACCAGAAACATTTGATGTTTTCAGAGGAAGGGCAAACTGTAGGACTGGTGACTAGAAGAGTTGGCACTTTGCTCCATAGGTTCAGGTGAGGAGGCTTCTAAAGACGTAATACCAGCCATGAGACCTAAAAGTCTCTTGGGCCCTGGCAGCACAGTTGATAGCTTAATGAGAAAAGGGCTTAAATGAGATGGAGGTGGGAGGCCCCCAGGGGCCACAGCCAGAGGGTTTGTGTCGTACCGGCTGTGTCTTTCAGACACGTGTCCTAATGGTCTGGTGATCGAATTTGCTTTATTTTGATTTACTTCCTGTTGCCACCTTCTGTAGATTCTAGGTTTCATGAGTTATCACAAGGAGTAAACTCGAATTAGGGGCTCAAATAATTTATAAGCTGACAAACTTTGAATCTTGCTTACATCAAGAATATTTAACCCTTTCAGTGCGGGCATGTTTCTAGTTTTCTCTCCCACAGATTCGGTTGAACAGGCTGTTGACCATTGACACAGATCTGTTGGAGCAGCAGGACATTGATCTAAGCCCTGACTTGGCAGCCACTTATGGCCCCACTGAAGAAGCTGCCCAAAAAGTTAAGCACTATTACCGCTTTTGGATCCTACCCCAGCTGTGGATTGGTATTAACTTTGACAGACTCACACTTTTGGCGCTGTTTGATAGGTAAGACCATAGCATGGTATTAATTTGTTGGTTTATTTGTTTTGTTTTCCAAGACAGGGTTTCTCAGGCCCTGGCTGTCCTGGAATTGGCTCTGTAGAGCAGGCTGGCCTCAAACTCACAGAGATTTGCCTGCCTTTGCCTCCGTAGTGCTGGGATTAAAGGTGTGTGCCACCACTGCCCAGCGATACTATTATTAAAGTGAATTTTTTCTAATTACCCATTGATATTTTCACCTGAGTATCATGTTGGAAAATACTTTCAATTTTCATCCTTTCAAGATCAAACTTAACAGACTTTTAAATATTAACTCTTCTTAAGCTGTTAAAAGCTTTTTTTCTGCAATTCTAAAATATTTCTATAAGGATATGTTTTTTACTATTAGTGTGAGTCATGCAGTTGATTGTTAAGAGAGCATATGAATTATTTTATGATCTTAAGGTTATAGGTGGTATGGAGGATGAAAGGGGGAAGAGGAACCCTGCTGCCCTGTTGTTCAGCATCCTGTCCTAGTGGTAAACACATTGGTTTATTATAAGCTTGGTGACCAGTAGCTGCTTCCTGTCAACAAGTAGGATTTACCCTCCCTGTGAAATATAGACAGGCAGAATCTTGGAGATAAGTCAGTACTGACAGTGACCCCGGAAAGCGGGAAGTCGGGGGTGTGGACTCTAAATCACCAGCACTCTGTGTGTGACACAGGGAGGAGGAGCATAGAATTCAGTACATGTCTTGAGTTAAAGAGATGAGTCTATAGTGTAAAACATCACAGAAGGGAGCTGTTGAGAGAACGGCAGCAGGATTCTGCAGACCATGATTGGCTCCTGTGTCTGAAGAGTTGTCTGCTTAAGAAACCCTTGCTTTAAATGTGTGGCAGCATTAGCCTCCTGTACCACACTTCAGACCTACCAAACAAATTGTGAAAGCAAGACCCAAAGGGATCAAAGTAGCATAACAGATTCAAGCTTTATAAAAATCCAGAAATACATACCTCCCAACAAGTAGTGACTGCCACCTGGCATCTACTCAGAGGTGACCAGCTATGCAAAGTGAGAAAACATGAATCAAGGGGAAAAGAATAAATCAAGACCAACCTATTACCAGTAGGGATGTTAACTGTTAGATATGGATTCTTAAAATAATTGCAACTGGATTCTGTTTACTTGAAAAATTAAGTAGAGACATGAAAAAATAATTACAGAGTTGAATACTACAACATTGCCATTAAAAAATAATGTACTAGTAAGATTGCCAGTAGTTAAAACTTTGTTGAAAAATAGATTAGTGAACTTTGTAGGCACATCAGGAGATCCATCTAGAGTAAAGAAGTGATAGGAGCATAAAACCAAAAAGAGTGTCTTGTGGAACAACTTCAAGAAGAGACAAGACTTGCAGAAATAATAGTGGAAACTACATATTATATGATAACTACCAATGCACTCATGAGGTTCAATACAACCTAAGCAGAAGCCACGAGAGACCTACCTAAGGGACGTACTTGCTCAAGTCCAGTCTTTAAAACCACAAGAAACCTATCAAAAGAATACTCTGTGCAGAGGAATGAGCATGGGGAAAATATCCAGCTGCCTGAAAGTTAGGCATGTGAGAAGACAATGGAACAAAGGAAAAACACTGTCAACATGCAGCCATTTATGTATCTTTAAAATACCCTGCAAATGCCCATGGATTGGGGTTGGAGAGATGATTCAGAGGTTGAGAGCACTGGCCACTCTTAGGTGCAGACTTCAGAGCAAAGGTGTCTTAGGGTTTCAGTTGCTGTGAAGAGACACCGTGACCATGGCAACTCTTATAAAGGAAAACATTTTAATTGAGGTGGTTCACTTACAGTTCAGAGGTTCAGTGCCTTATCACGGTGGGGAGCCTAACAATGTACAGGCAGACCTGGTGCTGGCTAAATCTACATCTTGGTTAGAAGGCAACAGGAAGTGGATTCAGACCCTGGGCAGAATCTTGAGTGTAGGAAACTTCAAAGACTGTCCCCCACCGTGACATACTTCCTCCAACAAGGCCATAACCACTTCAACAAAGCCACTCCTCATTGTGCCACTTCCTATGAGATATGGGGCCATTTACATTCAAACTACCTCAAGAGGATATTGCCAAAGATAAAGAGAGTTATTTCATAATGATAAAGGCCCAGTTTAACATGTAAAATGTAATAGTCCTAAGTTTCTGTGCCTAAAACAGCTTCAAACTTCATAGAGACTGATGATGCATCTTAGTGACACAGCAGATGCTGAACATGCAGAAAGACAGTGTTATCATCAGCACCCCTAACACCTCAAAAAAACGTAAAACAGAAACCAATAGAAACAGGAGAAGCAGATGAGACTACAATTATAAGTAACCTTTGCACTCCGTTGCAATCAGCTTGCTGTGTCATGACAAGATACCTGAATTACCTTACAAAGGAGGGTTTGCTTTGGCTCACAGTTTTCAAAGTTTCAGTTTGTGGTCACTTGATTCTTTGCTGTGGGGCCTGTGATGGGCAGAATAGCAGAGTGAAAATAGCAGAAGACTATGTTTATTACTTCATTGCTGCTGGAAGCAGAGACAAACAGGAAAGGGCAGGGCTTCCAGCAGCCCCTCAGAGGCACACCCCTGACTTGACTTCCTTCAACAGGGCCGCACCTCCTCCCAGGTGCCACAGCCTCCTAATAGCTGCATAGGCTGAGGAGCAAGCCTTCAACACATGGTCCTTTGGGGACACTGGAAACCCAACTATTACAGAGATAATTGACTTGCACATTTGATTGGCACTCCTGGAGCAGCCATCTGTAATGAGATTACATATTGTAGGCAGAGGTTTCTGTCCTGCCTGATCCTGCAGCTATTTAGTCCCAATAAACACACAGAGGCTTATATGAATTATAAACTGGTTGGCCTATTAGCTTATGCTTATTATTAACTAGCTCTTACAACAAATTAAACCATAATTCTTAACTATGTTTAGCCTGTGACTTGGTACCTTTTTATCAGTGAGGCAGTCTCATCTTGCTTCCTCTGCATCTGGCTTGCAACTGACTCTCTGCCTGTCTCTTCCCAGAATTCTCCTAGTCTGGTCACCCTGCCTATACTTCCTGCATGGCTACTGGCCAATCAGCATTTTATTAAACCAATATAAGTGGACAGATCTTTACAGGGTACAAGAGCATTATCCCACAGCAACATATTGTTTAATTGTTCATGGGATGTTATATAGACTGACCAGATTCTGATCTGTAAGGGTCAGTGAAAAGAATTAGATCACATCGAGTGTGGTCTTTGACAACAGAATTAAATCATTGAGCCTTGAACAATCCTGTTATATTTGGAAGTTAATAGTTTTAAATAATCCGTGGGTAGAGAAGAATTTGAGGGGAAACTACAAAGTATTTTAAAGTAAATGAAAATGGCTTCTTTCGTACTTAGGAAAATCTGTGGCACTGAGGACCTAGGCTGGAACAAGACCTCAGTTCTGTGATTCATTTCTGTACTAGAAACTAGAAAGACAAGCACTTATCTAAGGACACGAACATAGTATGAAAACAGAAAAATCAAGGAAATCTAAGACTGCATTTTTGGGAGCAGTGGTGAAACTGATGACCCCTTAGCTGCCTGATGACCAGATGGGAACTGTGAGGTGTGAGGTCACTACAAATCCCACAGGGATTAAAGAGCAATAAGGAAACATTATCAACAGCTTTGTGTCAATAAATTGACAGCAAGCAACGAAAAGGACAAATTCCTTGAAAGATTTAATTATCATAGACCCATCTAAATGGAAATACCATTAGGAACCCTCCTGTAGAGTAAGCTCCACGCCTGGGTGTTATTTAAAAATGAACTATGCAAATCAATGAAGTGGAGACTTGGCAGTAAAATAGCAGTTTCCATATGCAAAAAATAAAATTTGAATCCATACCTTGTACTATGTTACAAAAACTAAATCAAAATTGATCGTAGATATAAATGTGGTATATAAGACAGTAAAATATGTGAAACAAAATATCCCCAAGGTTATAGAAAACATACTAGCCTTGTCATTAAAAACCAAAATCAACAAGAGAACTGATTGATGATTGGGTTCATGACATAAAACACTGTACAAGGGCCATGTGTTTCAGTCGTAAAAGAGATGGTGACAGCAGCATGAGGATGGGAAAGGGAGTTGGTGGCCGGTCACCTTTCTGCCATCTACAGTGGAATGAAAATACCAATACTTCTTGATTTGAAAACAACGTTGAACTCTTGAATGGGATAGTGACTATAAATATAGTCTTGAGTTAATAAAAGCGAACTTTAAAATTTTTGTGATTATAAATTTTTTACCCTCTGAAGATTTAAGTATGTAGAAAATTTTGGAAATAGAGTTGCATACAGTAATCCCTCCATAAAGCTATTATAAATAATAATTTGGTGTAATGTGGGGGTTTTGTTTTATTTTGGTTTGGGATTTTCAAGACAGGGTTTCTCTGTATAACAGTCCTGGCTGTCCTGGTACTAGCTCTGTAGACCAAACTGGCCTTGAACTCACAGAGATCCGCCTGTCTCTGCCTCCCAAGTGCTGGGATTAAAGGCGTGCACCACCACCCATCTGGTGTAGTGTGTTTCCATTCTTTATGTTTTTAGTAACAAGACTTATACTTTGTCAGTTTTTATTTATACAGTAGACATGCTATGCATACGTCACTTAATATTCTATAAATGCAAGGTGTTTATCAAGTATTTCTTCAACATTTATGAATAAAACTTGTAAGAAATTATTAGCTTTTTGGTACAGCCTAAAATCTTCGTTTCTGCGTGTGGTATCTCAGGTATCATGTTACGACTTTTACGGTGTGAGTTTGCTGTATAGAATTGCCTGAGCAACTTTGGTAGAGGCAGAATTGAGTCTAGTTGTACTTCATTCTTAATATATGTAAGATCTTGTGCTTAAGTAGTTTTATTAAGTGTGTTTTTGAATTATTTCTGATTAGGATGAGAGATGGGGAAACAAAACCACTTGCTACTTGCTGCATGTGGTTTCGAGCTTTATGTTATAAAATAGCATATTTCAAATTTTCTAAAAATTTTTTGAGATTTTGATTTTTAAACTTCTTCCTATGCCAGCTTCATTTACCATCCAAATTGGTTAGTTATTTTACAGAGAAGATGTTAATGAGAACAATTTGTATTATGTTATCACAGGACAGCTGTGTTAGAGGGCACTGCACTCCCGTGTGTCGTGTCCTCAGATAGTAGTTTCTTTTTCTGTATGACCTGAAATGTTCTTTAAACCAGGCATTCAAAATAAACCTCAGCAGGCCTCATGTTGATGTCTTCCCCATTTTCAGTCTGAATATTTTCTTGTATTCATGATAGACCTCTGTGTTAATTTTTCCATCTACAGAAACCGTGAGATCCTGGAGAATGTATTAGCTGTTGTCCTGGCTATTCTTGTGGCTTTTTTGGGATCCATTCTTCTCATCCAAGGCTTCTTCAGAGACATCTGGGTGTTCCAGTTCTGCCTGGTGATAGCTAGCTGCCAGTACTCACTGCTCAAGGTACCAGTGTCTCTGCCTTCTGTGCTGTGTCTAAAGCAACTCACCAGCTCACCACAGAATGATAACTTTTAGGGATATTTTCCATGGAGGTTTACATTAGATTATGTAGGAACCAGAGCAGGGTTTAAACTTAAAAAAATAATTGTGTGCCGGGCAGTGGTGGCACACACCTTTAATCCCAGCACTGAGGAGGCAGGGGCAGGCGGATCTCTGGGAATTCGAGGCCAGCCTGGTCTATAAGAGCTAGTTCCGGGATGGGCACCAAAGCTACAGAGAAACCCTGTCTCGAAAAAATAAACAAATAAATAAATAAAATAATTGTGTGTACACTGAATTTACTAAAAACAAATTCTTTGTATTAAAAGAAAAGACTCGTTAAAATAAGAATTTGCATCTTTGAGATTTATTTCTGTTTAGTTTATCAGCACTAACCTTTCTTTTCTGACCTTTGAGCTTTCTGTTCTATGGGTGGGATTTATTAAAATTGTCATTGGTAGATAACAACATGTCAAAAACTAGAAATAGTTTTTATTTCTAGGGGCCATCAAAGAAAATATTGATGTCCCTTTGTTAGTGACTGAGTAGTGGCTCAGAAGCATCCATGTTGCCATTGTAAACGGTGGGAGAATCCAGCACGTCAGCTGATGACTGGCCAAAGCTTTGCCTTCTGCTGTTAACAGGGTGCTTCCTTCTTCTTAATGAGCCTGTCTTACTCTGCAAAAGCTGCACCCGTAGAGATGCTGGTGTGCAGAGCCCTCCCCAGGCTGCCACAGCTGCTTCAGTTCTGTGGATGCTCTCTACTGTCTTTGATTTTTCTGTCTGTTTATAGCTAACATCTGAAGTAAACCATCTAGGTTCTTGCTCTTTCTATATTGCCAGCCACATTCTTTGTCATTCAACATCTGTTAATGCTGTCTCCTCTCCACTGCCCTGTGACCTTGCACAGCCTGGGTGGCTCTTGGTCTTCAGATGACTGTCCTCTATTGTTGCTTCTTTATTCTTTGCGTGTTGCTGACTGAGAATTCTCGGGCCTGAGTGCCCTACTCGGTTGTACTGCTTTAGTCATCGAGGCATTACACACACTATGTCCGGATGGATGGGAAAGCTTTGCATCTTTCGCAGGCTTTAGTCCTGACTGACAGACAGACACGGCTGGAAGTAGCATGTTATCACCTCTGGTCATTGGTTTTCTTTCATGTTTTCTGTTTTTGCAGTGTTAAGCACCATAAGTTCTTTTCTTCCTTCCTCAATAAGAAGTAATCAAGTCTCTTTGGTTAAATTTGGTGTACATGTTAAAATTGCTGTTCCTTATTGTTGCCCTTCCCTCAGCCATCTTATCTATCCCTTGGTTGCCTTAATCCATTAAAAACTCATTCTCTGGCACTAGTGTGTCTTGTTTGTTAATTTTGTCCACATTTTCAGGTTAGTGTGGTTAAACACAGGTTGCTATTGTGGTGGTGGTGGTGGTGGTGGTGGTGGTGGTGGTGGTGGTGGTGGTGGTGGTAGAGGAGGAGGAGGAGGAGGAGGTGGTGGAGGTGGTGGTGGTGGTGGTGGTGGTGGTTGAACTAGCTGGCTAGAAGAGCAGCAATGTCATAAACAGAAAAGGGAAGGCAGGAATCAGAGTTTCAGAAGGCACTGAGGTTGAGAGGACTCAAAGAATACCCAGGCTCATATCCAGAGAAGGACACATGTCAGACTCCACTCACCTGGTGCAGTGTGGTGATGGACTGTCTGGGAAAGGGTGTTGTGTGCCACTGGAGATGAACGAGGATCAGGGAGAAGTTCTGATTGAGGAATTACATGATGACATTAGAACATTTTCATAGGATACAGCAGGATTGCCCTTGATTATTTTGCTGTGCAAAAGCAGATAATAAATTTATTTATTACAATTTAGTAAACTTAGAATCTGTGAGTGGGACTAGAACTTAGCTAACCCAAGTTCCTGTGTGTCTCCTGAGTGGAACAGTGGTCTGCAGAATATGGTAGCTATGCTTACACATAGCAAAGAGCTGTGCTGAATGGTGGACCTATCTACCGTACGCCAACTCAAACATTCAGCTGGGTAGTTGTAGTCATTAATTGGCTAAAATAAGCAAAAATGAGAGGCAGTGTGCACTGTGTTTATCCTGGTAAGCCAGTTCCTAGAGCTGGTGCTTCATGTTTGGAATTAATGTTTGTGATTTCTTGGTTGCAAGACATTGCCTAAAATCACTTCAGAGCATTGTAAAAGTTGCTTTTGACAAAAACAACTATAGGCAACCAAGGAATGCTGGGAGTGGGAGAAATAGTCTTCCCCAGGAAAGATCCCCTTAATTGATTGTCCAGTGCCAAAGGGTCAGCCCTGAAAACATACTTACAAGAAACAAACAGACTGAGTAGGTTAAGTGTTGTGATAAGGAGCAGCAGCGGGCTGTGTCCCGCCACCCGGCTAGCTTTACCTGAAATAATTACACGGAAACTGTATTCATTTAAACACTGCCTGGCCCATTAGTTCCAGCCTCTTATTGGCTAGCTCTTACATATTGATCTAACCCATTTCTAATAATCTGTGTAGCCCACGAGGTGGCTTACCAGGGAAGATCTTAACCTGCATCTGTCTGGAGTGGGAGAATCATGGTGACTCCCTGACTCAGCTTCTTTCTCCCAGCATTCTGTTCTGTCTACTCCACCTACCTAATTTTCTGTCCTATCAGAGGCCAAGCAGTTTCTTTATTACTTAACCAATGAAACAACAGATAGAAAGATGACCCTCCTCCATCATTTCCCCTTTTTCTGTTTAAACAAAAAAAAAGGAAGGCTTTAACTTAAGGGTCATCTTTCTATCTGTTAAGAAAATATGTGTTTATCCATTTGTGCAGGAAACAAAAACTTCAAAGGCTATGAACATGAAAAAGGGTCATGTAGCAGGAGTTGGAGGGAGGAAAGGGAAGGGAGAAATGTATAATCTCAAAAAATAAAAAGTGGTTTAACAGTTTAAATAAGATGGATACATATATACACACACAGGATTTTAACTCATCTATAAGGAATGAATTGATGGTGAAGGCAGGCAGATCTCTTTGAGTTTGAGGCCAGTTTGATTTACATAGTGAGTTCCAGGACAGCCAGGAATGTATAAAGAGACATGTCTCAAAATAAAATAAATGTCATTTTCATTAAAATGGATGTAACTGGAGATCATCATGTTAAGTGGAATAAATGAAATTTAGAAAGACAAATATTACAGGTTTTCTCTCATATGCAGAATAAAGATGTAAATATCTGTATATGCACACATACATAGTTACACACATATAAAGAGAGTTGGATATACACATATAATTGGATACGTACACAGCTAGGTACTGAAGGCACACAGAGCTGTATTAGACATGAAAGCAGAAAGGACTACCATGGAAGGAAGAGGGTGCAGGTGAGATGGGGAGAGATGAGGAAGGGATGGATGACTGCTACTAAAACATGCTCATATGTACAAAAGACAGTCTCATAATGAAGCCCAGCATTTTGTGACTTAGCTTAAAAATGAGAATAAACTGTTGGGGTTTTTTGTTAGTTTGTTTTAACTTGGCTTGTGGAATTCCTGAGATTGAGTAAAATAATATGTCTTTCTGCTTTATTTCTAGAGTGTCCAACCAGATTCTTCCTCTCCCAGACATGTAAGTCTCCTGGAGGGACTGTAAGTTACAGCTCCTTGACCCCCAACCACAGCCTGTAGTTTCTCCTGGGTGTACCAGATTGGGTTACATTTGTATCTTTTGTTTCATCTAAGTTTGGCCACACTGTGTAGTTGACTTATGAACATGAAAGGAGATAACACTGTGCTGACAGACTCTGGATCTGGTTGAGATGAGCATAAGAATGCATGTTCTGACAGCCTGTCTCAAGAGAGTGTCACTTGAGCAGACGTAATCCATATAAACTTGATTGTTTGCATTTACTACGATTTGAAAATAGTGAATAAGCATTGAAAATAGAATTTTGAGGTAGAAAAGCTTACCTTTGAACAATTAAGAGCAAGAACAAAAGCTGTACTGGATTCAACTGCTATTTAAGACTTTTGTGCTAAGTAATGAAATTAAACCCTTGCTGATTACCCCGTGTCTGCTGGTCTGGTTCTGGATCTAACAAGCCATTTGTGTAGTAGAAGTACCAAAGGACGTCCTCTGTACAGTAGTGCAAAGCTGGGATTTGTGGCTCACACCTTTTATCCCAGAACTTAGGGAGCTGAAGAAGGAAGGTTACAGGGTGTTCACAGTGACCAGAACTACATAATTTCCAGGCCAGCGTGGGCCAAAGAATGAAATCCTGTATTGTTTTTTGAAAAAAAAAATGAATGAATGAACTAGATTAAAAAATAAGCTCCAAGAATAGTGTTTTAGAGCTCTTCTTCCTGAATATAATGATTTTGTCCTTCTATTGAAATAGTAATGCAACCAGAGCAGAAAGTAAATCAGGCAGGGAAATGGTTTCCTCCTCATTAGTGATGTTCATCATCTATAGGAATACTTTTGAAATGTGATGATATTGGATGCTTTGCAATGTAGCCGATTTCTGACATGAGTGCTGGCTTGCAGAACAATGTCAAGGGACGTAGAGAAAAGCTGATGCCTGTCCCCCAGATTCCTGGGTTAAATTCTCACGTTTGGCTCAGCCCTTCCTTTCTCACTCTGTTCTCTCTCCCCCTTTCCTTTCTTCTCTTCCTTTGCAAACATGATGTCTCTTTACCTCCAGTACATCAGTGTGTTTCCTCAGAGCATTTTGTACATTCATTCAACATGACTGTCAAAGTTAGGACATCAGCCCTAATATGATGCTCTTGTCCAGTCTATAGGTGTCTCTCAGGTTTGATCTGTTCTCTTAGCTGGCAGTAGAGTTCCTGATCTGGTCTCTTAACTCTTATAACCTGGAGTGGTTCCTTAGTCATGATACTGAAATTGTTCATAGATCAAGGCCAGTTATATAATAGATTGTCCTCCAATTTATGTTTGATATTTCTTTCTAATTAGAGGGGGGTGGGTATCCATGTGGTACTGATCTCCCTCCTGCTGGTGGTGTAGCTCGAGTTTTCCTCAGATCTGCAGTGTTAATGTTTGGGCTGGACAAGGCTTTCACGGAGGCCAGAGATGTCGTGTACATTGAGGATCCTTCTTCCAAGTAGAGGCCAGTGGCAGTGGCTGTCTGTAAGACTGTGTCTACAGTTGCCACATGTCCTCTCTGAAGCAAACACCCTCTCTGTTCCGAACTTCTGCTTTACTAGAGATGTCATCATTTTCACCCTTGTAGTTCTGAGTCTCTTACTGGGACTTGGAGTCTGTCTGCATATCTTAGTGATTCACAGACTTTGGCTAACTTGTTTTATGACTACTAGTTTCTTGTTTGAATCAGACATTGTTTGTTAGTAGCTAGGTATTGATCTTCTAATTCCACTGTTCTATGTTAGTTTATTTCTCACTAAAAGGAATAGATAGTTTTATCTTTTGACTTAACTGGTTATTTGTGGTGTTGGTAATGAACCCAGAACCTGTGTGTGTGAGACAGTCATTGCACCACCACTGAGCTGTACCCAAGCCCTTTCTCTGTCTCTGTGTCTGTGTGTGTTCACGTGTGCGATCAGTGTATTTGTGTGGACTTAGGGGTGTATTATAGTGGACTATAGTGTTATAGTACTTGCTTTGATACTGAGGTTGTCCTTCACTTAGCCATTTGAAGTCTGTCAGACTGTTCGGTATCCTTTTGACATAGCCCTGTGATCCTTTAACGGCCTTTTTTCTTTTCTGATCCAGGTTGAATTTATATTCTCCTACTGGCTCCAACTATCTTCTCCTTCCTATGAGATTTTGGCTCTTTTTGTAAATACTATTTGTAAACTAAGATCAGGATGCTAGTAACCTTATTACTGGAATTTTATTGTGTCCAGGTACTTTCAGTGGGTAAAACTTATAAAACTTATACATGTACATTCATATTTATGTGTATACTTCTCCTGAATCTATTTATATGCCTATGAAAGCTAATGAGTTCATACTAAAAGCTCTGATTTCTGATGGTATCACAGGGCTCATTCTATTCCTCCCCCTTTCTGTATTTATCTTGACATTTTTCTGCAACCATCAGAAACCTGCCTTTCATATGGATATGGTTCAAACCATTAGAACATAAGCTAGTAATGACCTCAGGAGTTAGTTTTGGCTTTCAAAATGAACTTCACTGACAATGCAAATGTATTGCTTGCAGGGTCATAATCGTATCATTGCCTACAGTAGGCCAGTTTACTTCTGTTTATGTTGTGGTCTTATTTGGCTCCTGGATTATGGCAGTAGAAACCTAACTACAAGCAAGTTCAAATTGTATGGAATAACTTTCACCAATCCACTGATGCTTCTGTCAGCCAGGGATTTGGTTATCGGTGAGTCCTTTATCTCTGATCTTAACATTAGTTTATTTGTTTGCAAACAGTTTACTGACAAATAGATAAAGCAGCTTATTTTGCTTAAACTGTAGTCCTGTCTGAGAATCAGCTATAGAGCTTCTAAGAATGGCAAGATTAATGGTGAATAAGGATAGTGATTCTGATTCAGTTCTCGAAGAGAGCAGGGTAAAGATGATGATGATGATGATACATTTTAGGTTCACGTTACATAAAAACTGTTTGAAATGAGTTTTCCCCTGTGCTGGAATTGAATATAGGGCCTCATGCTTACCAGGCAAGTGCACTGCCATTGAGTTGTATCCCAGCATCTTAAGATGATTTTAAAAGATGTATTTTATAGGTGGAAGAATTTAATAACCTAGCAGCTCTGTAGCGACATTAATTTTAGATCCTATCTTTTAAAGACACACAGTATAAAATGTTAAATTTGACTTCATTGCGTGTGGGCTTTAACTGAACAAGAGAATGATGCAGTCTTTTTAATAAACTTTTCTTTCCTTCCATAGTGTTTACACTCTGTTTCCCAATAGTATTTTTCATTGGTCTCCTGCCTCAGGTGAACACGTTTGTAATGTACCTTTGTGAACAATTGGATATCCATATCTTTGGTGGGAATGGTGAGTAAACCGCAGTTGCTGTGAAGTAATAAACTGAACGTTAAAATACTGCTCCACTTCTCACTTTAGAATTGAGATTAGCAAAGAAAAGGTATTTATTTAATAATTGAAGCAGAAAAGCAGTTAGTTTTAGTTAAGAAAAAGTAGTCAGGTCTGCTATTTCTAGAAAGATCAATGTGTAGAAAGTAACAAAATAACTTGCAAAAAGTTTTTATACAATAGTCCATGCCCCTCACTCCCATCCATAGGTGATATATTCCTAGCTATGCTGTGGCTATACCCGTAGATACTGCAGATAGCAAGAACCTATATGGATTGTCTTTCCCGTATTGTACCTACATACCTGTGATAGAGTTTAATATATACATTAGGCACAGTAAAGTAAGCAACAGTGACTAATAATGAAGAACAATTCATGCTGTTTATCCAGCCAGCCTAACTGAATGTATGAGCTTCCTGTCCAGTGGGAAACCCTGTCTTTAAGCAGTAGTGCGGAGGATGACATCAACACCCTCCTCTAGCCTCAGCATGCATTTGTGCACACGGGTGCATGCACCTGCACTCACATGCTACAACCAAGTAAAAGTTATGGGATGTAGCCTTTCTCTTTGTTTCTCTGGGATTTTCTATGGTATGTGTTTGACCTATAGATGCTCACAGGTAATAGAACCTGTGGAAAGTGAAGCTGCAGAAAAGGAGGGGCTGCTGTGGAGGGTTTAGCTGTGATCTGTACTCAGTCATCAAGTGTTTAAAACATCGTCTGTGCTGAGCAGGTTGAGTCTGATTGTACTTGGATTTTGTTTTGGGGTGTGCATTTGGCATGCTCATGTACTTGCTTTCAGAGCCAAGGCCAGAATCTAAAAGCATTTTACTAAATCAACTTTTAAGAATTATCTCTGTTTTTAGAGTAGAATATGTATACATTAATCAATAACTTAGAAAAACAGTTTTCTTACCATGAACGTATTTTATTTAAAAAAAAAAAAAGTCAACTGCCAATCTGGAAGATAGTGACCCGCAGAGCTCGGCAGCAGCGCTGTCGGCAGGTGGCGTAGTGAGATGGCATGCCCTTCATCATTTAACATTTCTTGGAGAGAAGAGCATGCAAACAGAGGAAATACTCAATAGGAACGCCATTGGCCTTATACTTCATCTTCTTCACACTTCACACTTGTGATGCTCATTTGCCTTCTGCAAACATGCACTGAAATCATCTCAGGTAAAATGCTGATGGCGTGGCTTAGTTTTCAATTTGATGTGCATAAGATGGAGTGTGGTGGGTGTGTGAGAATAGGTGCGTGCACCTGTGTGCACGCTGAGGCCAGAGGAGGCTGTGAAGTGTCTCGCTCTCTACCTCCTGCCCTGAACCAGAAGCTCACACTTCAGACCAGGTCAGCTGGCACATGCAGCCATGCCTAGCTTTTTATATGGGTGTTGGGGATTTGAGCTCAGGTCCACTTTTACTTCTTATTCCTAGTCAATGAGTAGGGGTCATTTGCTTGTTGTTGACGGTTTTAGTAAATCTGATTTACACAGTTTTGTGTGAATTGATGAGCAGTGGGAATGCAGACTTCCTGCTGTGAGTGAAACCAGTCGTTTTTTACAAGGAAAGCTGTTTTCATTGGTTAATACCTCCAGTTTATTTCAGGCCTTTGCAAGCTGTGTTTTCTAATACAGCTTAGTAATGTAAGATACATTTTTAATTAGGTGGTGTGTGGGTACCTGTGGCGTACAGAGGCATCAGACCCCCTGGAACTAGAGTTACAGGTGCTTTTGAGCTGTCTGATGTGGGTGCTCGGAACCAAATTGTGCATGTGCAGCGCATGCTCTTAAAACTGAGCCAACTCTCCAGCCCCCAAGACACATTTTGAAGCCTATTATAGGTACAAATGTTTTTTCTGAGATTCTGAGGTAAATGTATATTATCGAAGATTGAAGATGGCAGGCAAGACATGGTACCTGATAACCTGTAATCTGAGCACTTAGGAGGGTAAGGCAGGAGGATTGCTGGGAGTGGTAAGCCAGTCCTAAGAGTGAGACCCTATCTCAACAAAATATTGGAGATAGAAGTGTTTCTTTTTTTTTTTTAAATATTTATTTATTTATTATGTATACAATATTCTGTCTGTGTGTATGACCGCAGGCCAGAAGAGGGCACCAGACCCCATTACAGATGGTTGTGAGCCACCATGTGGTTGCTGGGAATTGAACTCAGGACCTTTGGAAGAGCAGGCAATGCTCTTAACCTCTGAGCCATCTCTCCAGCCCCCGATAGAAGTGTTTCTTGTGTCAAGTATAATGAAAAAGATGAAGTAGCTGTATTTTAAAAGTCACATGAGTAGATCAATATCGTGTTACTTGATAGAGTTTTTGTGAATTTGAGTTTTTTGCTGTGGGTGTTTGTAAAATCCTGATTTCCTTCCTCCTCACTGTCTAGCCACCACCAGCCTGCTAGCAGCGCTGTACAGTTTTCTCTGCAGCATTGTGGCCGTTGCCTTGCTGTATGGGCTGTGCTATGGAGCTTTAAAGGTAAGCTGCAGACTGTGGTGTGCTCTGTGAGTGTGCACGTGAGTGCCTAAAACTGACTGCAGGTTCCCTTTTGCCCTGCCCTTGAGACACTAATTTCCCTGCCTTCCAATGCTCATCTGTACGCTTACTCTGTCTTACTTTGAATTTTAAAGTAATTTAATAATCAGTCGTTATTAAAGGAAAATTCTTTTCCAAACAATAATCCTAGGTTACTATTTAAAGACTTTTTAGAACTAGACTCATTTGCACTAGAGGCAGACATGGTATTGGCAGAATATGCACTTAAATGTCTATTTCTGCTTTAAAATGTGTGTAACTACTACCTCTCATCTTGATTTACTTATGAATATAAATATTTATAAGAAAATGTTTTGGTTGGGGTGTAGCTCAGCGGAAGAGTGTTTGTCAGGCATGCTCAAGGCCTGGTGCTTAGTCCCCAGCACAGCACCCAAGACAGAAACGAGTCCAAGGGCTCCAGGTGACGGTGTAAAACAGAGCTGACGCACACTGCTGGTCTGATGGATGGAGCTGTCATCCAGCCCATGAGCCATTTTAACACTGGTTTATAACCCCTCACATATTTCTGGATTTTTTGTCTGTTTTGGGGTGTTTTTTTTAATTTATTTATTATGTATACAATATTCTGTCTGTGTGTATGCCTGAAGGCCAGAAGAGGGCACCAGATCTCATTACAGATGGTTGTGAACCATCATATGGTTGCTGGGAATTGAACTCAGGACCTTTGGAAGAACAGGCAATGCTCTTAACCGCTAAGCCATCTCTCCAGCCCCTTGAGGTTTGTTTTTAATAAAGCAAGATAACAAGAAAATAGTAAGGTTCAAAGAGCTGTGTTCAAAGAAGTGACTCCCATTCTGCGTCATTCTGTCTGTGTGTCTTATGAAGTGGCGCTGTCTGTAAGAGTTGTTTCCTGTTAATGAGGAGCTTGTAGGTCAGCTGTGGATCCCAAGTCAACAGCATGCGGAGTCCAGAGTAATAAAGGCCAAAACCACGCTAAGCTTCAGGGTCCAGCCTCGAATGGTTGTGTTTCACTGAAGCCCAATCCCATCGGTGTATTGGGGGACTATATGGAAGAAGAAAAGAGGGCTAGAAACAGTCTAATCTTAACTGAGGCTATTTAGTGGCACCTACTAGATGATAGTAGAAATCCTAGAGTTTAAGAACAAAGGATTTTTTAATGTGAACACTTTATTTGTTCATATTTATGAGGTCCAGAGGCACATAGTAGTAGTTGTGTAGAGATTTCTGTTCATGCTTGGTAGACAGAACAGTCATCAACAGAACTGAGTCATTGGAGACTGCAACTGTGGGTTGGCGAGAGAAAAGTGAATTTGACCTCTGAGAGATGGCAGTTTTTAAATGTTAGCTAAAATAGAGACCCACCAGGAACAGTCAGAGAGGCCTAAGAGCCCGAAAGGTTCTGCTGGATGTCGCACCTGATAGACTATCAGAGACTTAACAAAGGTTTGTATTGGATGTGGTACCAGCCTGACTATCAATGACTTAACAAAAAGAGTTTCTTTGGCCTTTTAAGGAAGAAAACTAAAATAAGTTAAAGTTTGAAAGGAAATGAGAAAATGTGTTTTGTGTTTTCTAGACTCTAGCTGTGCAGCACATGGATATGAAGGGTTTGTGTTCTAGTTTTGTTTGTTAAAAAAGATCTGAGAGTTGACTTACAGTTAAGGGTAAAGGGGGAAATAAATTCAGTATCATCTATAAAATGACCACTATTTAGAATGTGAGAAATTATAGTAAAAGATATGAGAAATTATTCCTATTATGAATAAAACTTTAATACTGAGAGATAGATGGATGGATGGACGGACAGACGGACGGACGGACGGATGGATGGATTAATGGATGAAGCTTTCTTAAGACAAAAGAAATCTAGTATCTAGATCCCAGGTCTCAGGAAAACAGTAACAAATGTGGGGTGGTGTGCTTGAGAGGCAGGCAGGGTTAGGAGTTCAAAGCTATCTACAACTATATAGCAAATGTGAGGCTAGCCTGAGCTACCTGAGACCCTTTATCAAGTGAAAAAAATTCTAAATTCATCTGGAATAAGGTACAGTTATTAATATATAGCTAAAACACTTTAAACTGTAAATTTGCTGTTTCTAAATATTGATGTAAGAGGAATGTATGCTAGGTCATAAGTTACAAGCATCTTATCTTCCTCGTCTTTTTTCCCTCAGGATTCATGGGATGGCCAGCACATTCCAGTGCTTTTTTCTGTTTTTTGTGGTTTGTTAGTGGCCGTGTCCTATCATCTCAGCCGACAAAGCAGTGATCCCTCTGTACTCTTGTAAGTGAGATCAGTCATTATTGTTGAACATTTAAGTATGCTGGCATTTCTATAGTCCCTAAAGCTAGCACCTTTCCTAATGCCTATCAAGTGGGGTGTGTGTGTGTGTGTGTGTGTGTGTGTGTAGCTTCTACAAGAGTAAAATGTACTCTTAACTGTTGAGCCATCTCTACAGTCCCATGGTGGTTGTTTGGGTTTTTTGTTTGTTTTTGTTTTTTCAAGACAGGCTTTTCTGTGTAGCTTTGTTTTAGGTTTTGTTTGTTTTTTGATGTTTTTCTTCCCAAGTTTTAATTGCAGTATTTTCATTGTATCCTTATATATGCCAAAATGAACTTTTTAGAATTTCCATGTCTCAGTGATTGAATGTACTTGGGTTATTTGATTTTATATCACAAACACCTTTGCTGTTTAAATTGCTAGGTTTCAAGCTTCATGTATATTTTCTATTGAATATATCCTCTTACTTTTTTCAAATAAAGCTCTTTGATGCAATCCAAGATTTTTCCAAAAACTGAAGAGAAAAACCCAGAAGACCCTCTATCTGACGTGAAAGACCCACTGCCAGAAAAGCTTAGCAATTCTGTTGTAAGTGTCTCATTTTAGATGGTAGTACTTATGATGAATGACTGTTAAATACTCAATACTTTTGAAGGTCTTTAGTAATTGGAGGAAATACAGCATTGTTAAATATTACTCATTGTATTCAGTCCGGATTTTAACATACTAGTTAAGCATCCTCCTTCCCAAAAGTCCAGAAGAATCTGGATCAGAATCTCAAGCTGTTGGAATGTTGACATGATCACACCATGGAAAACTACACATTTGGTCTGATGTGATCAATCATAGGTTCACTTACAGTACTATTTACTGTGACCTTCTGCCTGTTAGGCCCACAGGAAAAAATAAACTTCATTTACTTATATATGTATCTATCTATCTATTTATCTGATTTATTTATTTTTTATGTGTGGCTCATCTCCCCAAAGTATGTCATGTTATATATAAAATACCCCCAAACCTGCAAACATCAGCAGTCTCTCATACTTCTGGTCCTAAACATTTTGGATAGGATATCCAGTTAGCCTGCATAAGAAAGGTCCTGTTCTCACACGTGGTCACAGTATGGAAGAATATGTCAAAAGGTTTCATGTAGAGCAAAATTAAGTCATTTCGTTGATCCTTCCCGGGGGCACAGGGGTCTGAAAGTTGAATACAGGAGGCAGTAACTCTTTATCCTCAGCTTCCTTTCCATGGTTTCATTTACTGGTGGTCAACTACAGGCCAGAAGTAGAAGCTGGAAAAGTCCAGAAATAAAGAATCTGTAAGTATTAAATTGTACACCACTCTGAGTAGCAGGATAAAATGTTGCGCAGTTCCACCCAGACATGACGCATAACCTCGTCCAAGTGCTGCTGTGCAGACCGCTAGCACCCATCAGCTACTTAGTAGACACTCGGTTATCGGTACAGCTGGAGGGTAGAGTCCCCTTAGTAGTTCTAGGTGTCCGAGAGGGTCATGGAACTTATTGCCTACAGGTAAGGGCAGACTGCTGTTTAAACTGTTTAACATAAGTTAGATTTTGTGATTATTCCTCTTGGTTTTAAAAAAAAAAAACACCTCTGTCTTGTGCTTCGTTTCTCAAGGGCACTATAAAAAGTGTATTTGGGGGCTGGAGAGGTGGCTCAGCAGCTGAGAGCCCTGTGCTCTGCTGAGAACCTGGCTTCAGCTCTCACCACCCTGGTGGGAGCTTGCATTTGCCTGCCGCTCCCATTCCAGGAGACCTAGCACCTGGTTTCTGCAAGCATTGCTCACGTGTTGTAGACAGACATGCATACAGGCAAGACCCCTATACACATAAATACATGGGAAACTTAAGGTGAGGTTTCCAGGTCAAAGAAAAGAACAGTCTGCTAATATATACCTATTAGAATATTTCTTCTCAGTTCATTTTAGTGGTCCATAGTGTCACTTTGTTCCCTTGAAAAGTGAATTCTAGAGGTTCCTGTCTATTATGTAGGGCAAAACACTGTTTTCTATTTTATTTTAGATTGTTTTTTCTTTTATTGTGCTGGAGATTAAACCCAGAGTCTTGCTTGCAAGGAAAATACTCTACTACCAAAACTATGTCCCCAGTTCCTCCTTTTAGATGATTTATGTCTGAATGTTGAACTTACCCTGGCATTAATTGGACATAGCATTTATTTCAGTGAATATGACTACTCACAGCTTTCTAGAAAATTAGAAGTAACAAACTATCTCAAGATGAAATTGAAGCACATTCTCTGAGTTTAGTTTCTGTGTTCATGGTAAGCATAGTGGAATGTCAAATGCAGCTTATATGTCTGCTAATCAGTAGGTGGCCAGGGATAGCAAGAAGATCCTGTTTATTACTACAGAGTTGGGATGCTTCTAAAATTTCAAAACCTGACATGCTCCCAAATCATTGAGAAAAAAACAAAACAAAACAAACAACAACAACAAAAAAAAAAACCCCACCTTGGATTTTAGAACATTTCTGATTTCAGATTTTTCAGTTCAGGGATCCTCAACTGGCAGAATCCAACAAGTGCTGGAGGCTTAGTGGAAGCCAGAATCAAAACCATGTTTGGTCCTAAGTTTAAATAAGGGATTCTCAGCCCTGAAAGCCACTGGAAGAACCCGTCCTAAGGAAGATAGGGAGTGCGCATGCAGTCAGTGTTGGTGCCCCAGAAGATCAGCTCTTTTTGTCAATAGAAAAGCAAAATGTACTGACCCATGAGGGACAGTCTTCTAAAAGACTCTCCGTTTACAGCATTAAAAAGTAGGCAAGTGTTTTTGTTTTCTGACGTACAGTGCTAAGCTCTGAGGAAACCCCAAATACGAGAACATTGAGGAAGGAAACAAGATTTATTCTACATAATTATTTTATACAAGAAATACCTAGAAATGCTTGGGAGGTGGAGTCAGGAGGCTCGGGCATTCAGGGTCATGCTCAGCTGCTAATGACTTGGAGCCAGCCTGGATTGCATGAGACCCTATCTTAAAAACAAAGAAGTGTGTAATTGTTTCATGATTGCTCTCTGCCCCACAGAGTGAGCGTCTGCAGTCCGACCTGGTGGTGTGTGTCGTTATTGGCGTGCTGTATTTTGCTATCCATGTCAGCACGGTGTTCACAGCACTACAGGTAAGGAATCCTCTTGTTGGAGTTGATAGAAAGTGACCCAACTGCTGTGTGACGCTGTGGCACTGAAGTCCTTGACTCCTTCAGTTTTTTTGTTTTGTTTTGGGTGAATGATTTTAGTAGTAAGTTTTGTTCCCTCATATTTTTATATACATATACTGTGTATTCTTGTCACACACCCCACCTCTCTCCCAGCCCTCCCCCAAATCTCTTTTCCCTTCTCAGTATTGATTTTGTTTAGTGTCCTGTGTAATCGAACCAGAACCTAAGTTTGGAACTAATTAGGAGAACCTGGTGGGCTTATCAAGGGTACACAACTGAATTCTGTGCCCCCTCTGTTCTGCCGTCTGTTGGTTGCCACAGTTCAGCAGGGTAGGGACCCATGAGTCCTCCCCCATCCCTAGCCGACTGTTAGGAGGGCCTGACTTCTGTGAACCCAGGGCCGGCATACACAGCGGGTGCCTCTGGGAATATATGAGTTTTTGTTTAAGTATTTTATTGTGTTCTCCCTGGGCTGTAAATCTTTGTGAGTGGCTTAGGAGCTTTTCCTGTTACTGCAGTAGTCTGAGGTGAGCCGTGTGCAGTCATCTGAGGTGACTTGTATGCAGTGTTCATTTCCTTACTGCAGTAGTCTGAGGTGAGCAGTGTGCAGTCATCTGAGGTGACTTGTATGCAGTGTTCATTTCCTTACTGCAGTAGTCTGAGGTGAACCTTGTGCAGTTCTATCAGGTCTGATGGATCATGTCTCTGCACCCTTCCTATTTCCAGCTCTTCCTTCCACTCTCCTTCCACAGTGTTCCCTGAGCTGTAGATGGGAACTGTGAAGTTACCGGTTTAGAGTTGGGCCCACCTCTCTGGCTTGTTCTCTGCATTTGGGGCAGAGTCTGTGCTCACACTGTTCGTCGTAAGGATAGGTTTCCCTAGCTAAGGCTGGGAGCTGCTTTTGTGTATAGGTATAAACACGTGCATTTAGAAGGCAATTTGCTCCTGTTTCAGTGTAGTTAACCGTCAGAAATATATTCCCTGCACGAGCCGCCACGTCCCCAGATGTGAGTTGCTACCAGGCTTACAGTACCAGACATTGGTCCCACCACATTCTCTCTGGAGCAGGGCTCAAATGCATTCAGAGAGCCATATGGGAATTTCTGAGTGGATGCCAACCGTGTAAATTTTACCTTGTTGGGTGTTAAATTTTGTGTTTCCAAAAGTACTTGAACATTGTCCCTAGATACCGTTAAGTACTTGTTAGCATTTGATCCCCTAGGGGCTTACTTTTGTTAAAGCAGTTTCTGAGGTGGGATGGGGCCAGCTTTTCTAGACCATGTATTTCCCATCACTAAGGGTAGGCAGCCTTTAGGCCTCTGCTTGGTGCGTGTGTTCCTTAACATTTCCCAGGCTTGTGAGGGTGGCACTTTTCCAACCACGTGATAGTATGCTTTCTTGCTTGATGCCCTCCTAGGGTTCCTCATAGCTTCCTTGTGTGTGGGGGTTCCCATTCCCATGAATACTTGAAGGGCTGTCTGCAGATCTCAAGCATCTCCTCTGCACTTTCCCTAGGTTCATGGGAGCCATGAGCAGGACAGGCACAGCCCCTTCCTTGGTTCCCTGTCCTCTGGGCACAGGCTTATTTCTGTAGATCTTACCTGATACAGACCACTGGGCCGTGTGTTCTGTTTAGTGTTTTTTTTTGTTTGTTTGTTTGTTTTTTTGTTTTTTTGTTTTTTTTTTTTTGGTTTTTCGAGACAGGGTTTCTCTGTAGCTTTGGTGCCCATCCCGGAACTAGCTCTTGTAGACCAGGCTGGCCTCGAACTCCCAGAGATCTGCCTGCTTCTGCCTCCTGAGTGCTGGGATTAAAGGCGTGCACCACCACCACCCGGCAGTGTTGGCTCTTTTATGTGGGAGTCGCTCCTGGACAGTTATTTAATATTGTTAAATATGTTTGCTTGGTTTTCTGCTCTCCAGTTTGAACTACAAATTCCTGAACTCCCTCAAAGTGCAGCTGGACACTCCTTCATGTTTAGGGGCCTCAGGGTTTCTAAATGTATATGACTTGGTTTTAATATTAGAAAAAAGGTGTTAATTCCTCCTTCTGTGAATCTAGTTGTGCGGGGCACCTGCCTCTGACAGCACAACATGCAGAGACAAAAGATAAAGCCCTTTCGTCTGTTCATTCTGTTCCTCTCTCGGACTTAGCTTACATCCCTTATCTCTCCTAGTTTGACAGTTGAATCCCTTGCTCAAATAGTCACACAGAACATTCTTGAAGCAGGAAGCAGCACTTCTAGTCTCTTTCATTGACTCTAGTGTCAGACACCAAAATAATTACCATATTTCAGATGTGCATTAGAGTCAGCTGACATTCAGTGGCTCATTTGGACAGAGAAAGCTACAGGTACAGAAATGGTAAGCTGTGGTTTTTAGATTCTAAGAGCTGTTCTCCATTATCGAATGAGAAAACGGAACCAACGATCCAAGAACTCTGCAGTGAACCTGGCGGGGGCTCCTAACACCCTGAACTCTTTCTTTCAGCCTGCTCTCAAGTATGTGCTCTATGCACTGGTCGGCATTGTGGGCTTTGTCACCCATTACGTGTTGCCCCAGGTGAGGAAACAGCTGCCATGGCACTGCTTCTCCCGCCCTCTGCTGAAGACGGCCGAGCACAATCAGTATGAAGTTCGAAGTAAGTAGTTGGTTAACCCCCTTGGTCTTGTGGCTCACTTCACACCACATGCCCGTAGGTGAATTAGACAGGTGCCATTGAGCCACACGTTGGTGAGCCGTCGTCTCCTGTAGGGCACCGTCTTCAGCTGAAAGAGCACCTTCTCAGCATAGACTAGTGCTCTGACTGTGCTCAGCCTGTCCCTGATGGGTCTTCCGCGTGACTTCTCTCTCTAGCAGTCCCTAATGTATATACAGACAACCCACCCCTCCCCGCCTCCAGTCCTCTATTTGAAAGGCTTTAACTTAAGCTGTGGAAGGAAGAAGGCCTTTGTCCATTATTCCACTAGAGACTCTGTTCTCCTTAAGAACGGCAGTAGCAGCCTTTCTGCGGTGGCTGCTCGTTTGGGGATAAGGTATAAAATGACTAAAAAGGAGATAGAAGGCCTGTCCATTTAGCAGCTTCTTCCTTGCCACTGTAAACTGTTCTTGTGCACCAGCCCTGTGTGGTGCGGGCCTCTGCACAGCGACTAAGTCAGCCCAGTGAACTGCTGTCAAGAAGGGGACTCACCCAGACATTTAAGATGAGTTGATATTTTTGACGAACACCGAAACCTTTGAAACCGTAGAACAAAGTTGACTTTCGGTCCTCACAACGGGCCTCTTAGTGAAGCAGCATGGCGCCTCGGTGCTGACCACCATCAGACCCTGGAGAGACAGGGGAATACTGACAGCAGGGCACTGTGGAGGCTTTGCAAGTCATTCGCCTTTGTCTTTAAATGTGCGAGTGCTCTGCATGTCTGCCTGCGGCCAGCAGAGGGCATCAGATCCCACCGCAGTAGGCTGTGAGCCACCATGTGGGCGCTGAGAACTGAACTCAACCTCTGAAAGAGCAGCCAGTGCTCTTAACTGCTGAGCCATCTCTCCAGCCCAATATGTGTCCTTTTTATAAGGGAAAGTTGTATGAAACTTTAAGACTTGGGATTAGCCTGCTCTTGGCATCAGGAGAGTAGCACAGAGTGAAAGGCTTTCGTTTTTTTATGATGAACTGTTTCTATCCCTGTTACAAATAAATAGTACCAAATAGATCTAGTTTGCTTTTAAAATCAAATTTACTGGTTGTGCATTTCTTTAATAAGTCTAAATTTTTTTTCAGATTTTGAATCACCACAACAATTTGACTTAGTGAAAGTACTAAATTATAGTAAAGGTATATTTCCTTGTACTGATATTCAAAGTAAAGACTTCCTAACTGCCTGCCGTACTGTTTTCAGAAAGCCAGAGAGTGGTGCTAAGTTAATCTTCATATACTGCTGGTGATGAGAATGACTTTAATAAACTGGGTGAATCTAAATCATACATATGTATATCTGTAGCATATACCTTATCGTTTTAAAACCAGATAATTTAAAGATCTTATTTGTTTAGAGGTGAGACACAGCCCAAGAATCTTTAATAACTTTTTCTATATACAAATAGAGAAAATGAGAGAAATCATAGTTAAAATGGGAGGTTTCACTGGAGATGCAGTTCGTGGTGACATTCGCCTCCCGTGGCCTGACCCGCAGCTCCACACAGACAGCTTATACAAGTAAACTTACTTAAGTGTGAGTCATGTCCAGGTTGGAAATCTGTGTGTTGGGGGCCTGGGGCGTGGGATATTTCAGAGCAGTTAGAAATTGACTGTTGAACTACGGGCTGATAGAACGGATCCAAATCTAAGTCAAGTTGATCCTTCTTACCGCACACCCAGCTGCTTTGATCATTGTGTAAATTGTGATCTCTGGACTTGTTGCCTCATCAGATGCAGCCACTATGATGTGGTTTGAAAAACTCCACGTGTGGCTTCTTTTTGTGGAGAAGAATATCATCTATCCACTGATTGTCCTCAATGAACTTAGCAGCAGTGCAGAGACCATTGCCAGCCCAAAGAAACTGGATGCAGAGTAAGTATAGTCCTCTGATCTGTGTCGTTAGATTCGAGCAGTAATAAGCAATGCCTTACACTTGGTAAAACAGCCTTGAGTCCTTGGTCAAGACCCTTAAACCCGGTGTCTCTGGCACACAGCATCAACGGATAAAAGGCTCAGGTGAAAATTTTTTGTCTTTGCTTTTTTGAACATCACCGTTTTTACTGTTCTTGACTTCTTACTTTCAGTCAGTATTCTTAGAAGACGACACTTGACAAGTAAAGTTAGTTTGGGGGCTGGCCGGATGGCTCAGTGGGAAGGTCCTGCTGCCAAGCTTTATGAGCTGAGTCCAGTCCCTGGACCCACATAGTGGAGGAAGAGAACCAGCTTCAGCAAGTTGTCTTCTGCCCTCCACACAAGCTGTGTCAAGTGCGCATGCATGCACGCATGCACTTATGCAAAATAATGGGAAAAATGTAATTTAAGAAATTAAAAATAAAGCTAGTTTTTACTATTAGATGGCAACTTTGGGAGGTGGTTGTTGTGTACTGTGTAAATCAGACTGTGTAGGTGGTCGTTTGTCTACATGATTATCCTGCAATCGTAGTTTAGCTCCATGGTATGGCATGCTAGTACATGTTTTTCATGTAATGAATGCAGCTATTGTTAAAGTGATAAAATTAAACTAGAGAGCTAGGTTTCAGAACTATAGCTTTTTAATTTTAAACATGCTTATTTACGTAGAGAATAAAAGAGCATAGTATAAAAAAAGAATACTAATAAAAATAATATTATGTTAGTGCCTTTCAGGATGTGATATGCTTATCATGGAATAAATACCATGGAAGTCATTGGTATCTATCTATCTATCTATCTATCTATCTTCTACCTACCTACCTATCTATCTGGACAAAAGAGTTGACACTGAACTTGTGATCTCCTAAGTTCTGGGATTATGGGTATGCACACCCACGTGGCTCTTATAAATCAATACCAGAGGTTTTAATTTGTTCTGTATCATAAGCTTAGTGAGTATGTGGTAACTTCAGGGTTAGAGGAAGCTGGGTATTTTCAGCCGCAAACTGACGGACTACGCCTCTCTGTCCGTGACAGGTTGGGAGCTTTGATGATCACCATCGCTGGCCTGAAGCTTCTGCGGTCCTCCTTCAGTAGCCCCACGTACCAGTACATCACGGTCATCTTTACTGTGCTCTTTTTCAAGTTTGACTATGAAGCCTTCTCAGAGACGATGCTGCTGGACCTCTTCTTTATGTCCATCCTGTTCAGCAAGGTAATCCTTCACCAGGAGCGCCTGCCTGCAGAGACGCCGCTAAGTGAATGCTTGCTGAGGTCTGTGCTGCTATTTCAGTTGCCCTGCTGGCTCTTAAGTACTGCTCCTCTTCAGTCACCAGTTACTTTCCCAGGAAGCCGTGCTTGTCACTGTGGTTCATAAGAACCAAAGTCAAATGGGACTTACATGTGGTCTGTCTCCACCTGCAGCAGTTGGGGTTCAGAAGATTGCTGTCCAATAAACAGTGGCTACTGTGTTAGAGAGGTTGTTGCCTGCTCCTTGTGACTTTACATTTGGAACAGATTTTCTCCAGTTCAAGGGTATTGTGTCCTGGAATAAAATACATGCACGTATTAGAGACACCTAGAGTTTCTGCTCAAGGACAGCAGTTTTGTTGCCTCTGCCCTCCTTTGCTTACAGTAGTAACAATACCGTGACTGGCCAGAAGAGGGCAGATAACTCTTAAACACCAGTCCGTAAGTCTGTATCTTTACATTTTAAAAAAAAAAAAAACATGTTTATATTAAAATAATGCCAGTGTTTTGGCAGTTGATAAATCTTGTCTTATTATGCTATTGGAAAATAATTTCGGGTCATTTCCATGATAGGAAGAAGACACATCTTATAGACCTCTGTTCTCTGGTTGAAGTGCCTGCTTACTATTTCCTTAACAGCTTTTCCTCTCTTCCCACAGCTCTGGGAGCTCCTCTATAAACTGCAGTTCGTGTACACCTATGTTGCACCCTGGCAGATCACGTGGGGCTCTGCATTCCATGCTTTTGCCCAGCCCTTTGCGGTGCCCCGTATCCTTCACTACAGTGTGTGAGCATGGCTAGTCATATCCTTGATGAGAGCGTCAGTCTGCAGTCCGTCTCCCAGCTCACATGCCAGGGATCGTGACAAGCCGCAAACCTCACAGGCTGTGGAGAACCGCCTGTCCTGGTTAGGTTGTGCAACCCACAGATCGGCCAAACATGAGGAAAGATTAAGGATTTGTAATAAGTAATGCCATTTTTAAGTTTTGTATTTAAAGTGTGAGCTATGAATGTCATTAAAGTCTAAGAACTTTTAATGTATTTGGAATAAACGAATAGAATATTTTTCATAGCAATCATAATTAAATTTCTGGGTGAAATTTCCATCCTCCTCCTGCCTCAGAAGCACTTTAAAATAACTGATTACTAATGACTCAGGCTGTGTCTGAGTGCAGCCTTTCAAGGTTTGCAGTTTTAAAAAATGTTCATTACATGTATTTATTTGTGCGTGTGTGCGTGTGTGTGTGTGTGTGCGTGTGTGTGCGTGCGTGCGTGTGTGTGCGCGTGTGTGTGCGTGTGTGTGTTGCATGTAGAGGTCGCAGACACCTGGGGAGAGTCAGTTCTCTTCCTCCAGCATGCATGCTGAGGCCTGGCAGCAATCATTGTCATTTCATGGCAGCAAGCAGTCATCTCATTTGGCCCCAAATTCTGGTTTTGACCTTCATAAAGTTAGACTTGGGTATTTCATCCCAAGATTGACATGTGGGCTTTCTCCCTCTTTCTTTTTCTGTTTGCTGTGTTTATTCCTTAACCGTTCCCCCATAGACTCGGCTATGCTGTTTGTTCAGGCAGTGGTATCAGCCTTATTCTCCACGCCGCTAAACCCCTTCCTAGGTAGTGCCATCTTCATCACCTCCTACGTGAGGCCCGTGAAGTTCTGGGAGCGAGACTACAAGTGAGTACACGGGACACACGGGACACACACGACCAGTTCTGTCCTCTTACACAGGGACGCATCGGTAGGGAAAATTGGTTTTGATTATAATTTGTGGTGATCAAATACTTTTTTGCCAAAAATTTACAATTTTTTTGTTTGGTTGGTTAGTCTTTGGTTTTGTTTTTCAAGACAGAGTTTCTCTGCATAGCCCTAGCTGTCCTGGAACTCATTCTGTAGACCAGGCTGGCCTCAGAACTCACAGAGACCCACTGGCCTCTGCCTCCCAAGTGCTGGGTTACAGGTGTGTATCACCACTGCCCAATACAGTTATTTTTAAAATTTGAAGATTATATAGTATTGAGGAAATTGATTTTCTCATCTTTTTATGTGATTCTTAAAAGTATAGTCCTAACTATACTCTTGTGCGTTTTCTTCAATGACGTCTTGGAATTAGTCCCTGTCAGTAACCCTGTGACATGTTATATACAGCATTACACCATTGTACCAGCTATGGTGAGCTGTAACCTAGTTAGAAATTCTAGAGCTGTTTCTGATAACTTCATTCCAACAGTTTCCCGTGCAGACTTTGCTCATTAGACTAACTGGTTAATCTGCTGCTTAGGATAGTCCTTGCCCAGAGTCTGTCCACATATGCTCTTATTTAAGGAAAGTTGCTGAAAGAGGCATTCTCAGTTAAGGGAACAAGAACATTTGGGCACGTATTAACATGTTGGGTGTGTAGCTCTCACCGTCCCACAATGCCTCTCTCTGCACTGCCTGCCATGCAGTGACATTTTTACTCGGGAAGATGGTGGTCTCAGGAGTGGCACAGTGAGCCAACTTGTACACTTGACATTTCTGCTCTGGCCCTCTCCTAACACTGCAGGTGGTGGTCACCATTTTGGTGAATTTTCATTACTTTCTATATCCTATTCTAGGCCAAGTTCTAGCCAGAAGTTATATTGTGTGATATCAATTCTTAACAGTTTGTAGCAAATAATTTTGGTACCCATAAAAATATTCAAGATGTCATCGTATTTAAATAGAAGTTTTATTCAATAATATTTTCAAAGAACCTATTTAAAATGCAAGTGTTTATTTATTTAAAAATAGATAATAGCCACTATGTTTATAATTCCAGAACTAAGAAGCTGAAGTGTGAGGATTACAAATTTGAAGCCTGCTTGGTCTACCTGACAAGACCCTGTCTTTTTTTTTTAAAGCATATCCCATATTAACATAAATATCATTTTAAACTAAGAGTATTTTCTGCCTACCAAAATTTTAATAAGATTGCATTGTTTCCAGTTTGGCAAACCTTTAATGTCTTGCTTGCTAAAAGCCAGGTTAGGTCCACACTTTTGCATCCACTCTCTTGCAGTATGTCATTTGATTGAAATGAAGAAAGAAAATTTGTCCTCACAGATGCACAGTTGAAGAAGACTTTTTACATGTTCTGAGTGTTTTGTCTGCATATGTGCATGTGCACTGCGTATTGACTGGTACCCGAGGAACTGAGAAGAGAGCACTGGATCCCCTGCGTCTGGAATTAGGGATAGTTGTGAGCCACCGTGTGGGTCCTGGGGACCCAACCCAGGTTTTCTACAAGAGCAGCCCATGCTTTTAACCACTATGCCATCTCTCTAACCCCAAGAAAGAAGTATTAAGACAGTTCTAGGTGTCTTTCTTTGATTTTTCACCAAAACACAAAAAGTAAATGGCAGTGTGTTTTTTTGTTTATTTTTGTTTGGGGGGGGGTATTTGCTTGTTTTTTTTTTTTATTTTGTTTTTCAAAATAGGGTTTCTATGTAGCCCTGGCTGTCCTAGAACCCATTCTGTAGACCACCAGAGATTCACCTGCCTCTGCCTCCTGAGTGCTGGGGTTAAAGGCGTGTGCCACCATTGCCTGGAAAATAATTATTTCTTAAAAATAGTTGTGGCAGGGGGGGAGGCTGGAGAGATGGCTCAGAGGTTAAGAGCATTGCCTGCTCTTTCAAAGGTCCTGAGTTCAATTCCCAGCAACCACATGGTGGCTCACAACCATCTGTAATGGTGTCTGGTGCCCTCTTCTGGCCTGCAGGCATACACAGACAGAATACTATATACAAAATAAATAAATAAATAAATAAATAAATAATCGTTGTAGGGTAGAATCTAAAGTGAACCTCGGAGCGTTTAGAAGTGTGTCTTGTCTGGACTGATCCATTCATTTTTTTTGAATGAGATATTTGCTTGTACATAATTTCTAGCATTTATTGGTCATTTGAAAATGGCATGGTTGAGTAACTTGAACTAGCTCTCCAAGTCTCCTTAAGGCATCCACAGTGTCACCAATCTCAGAAGAGTCGTGAAGTGCATTGCTCTAGGAAGTTGTCACACTCATGGCTGGAATACAAGTTTTCCAAAACTAATTTTCGTTTTTGAACTGCCTCCGCGTTTCCCTTAAAGTAATGGGCTTTGCCTTGTCTGTGCTGTGGAATGCCTGTAAGGCAGCACATCTGAGTAGTCTTACACTTTGCTCACCATCTTGAAGGAACTGGTCCTTAGGGAAAGTCACCAGTTGAAACATGAACAGGGGAGAGCTGTTGTGTTTATGTGTTGTGAAGATGCAAAGGAAGAAAATAAAAATTTTAACTGTAAGTCTGTGCTGTCAAGTTGGTTATTATCTAATCATAGCTTTTCCCCCAGAGGTTTTCCTACAGAAATGGAATTTATCTGTGTCTTGTAGTTTTTCTCTTGCCTTTTTTTTAAAGTATAAAATACTAAAAATGTTTTGTTTTGTTTTCTTCAGCACAAAACGTGTGGACCATTCAAATACAAGATTGGCTTCTCAGCTTGATAGAAATCCAGGTAATAGTCCTGTCTGTAACGAGGCAATGAGAGGATTTGCTTTCTGTGTGTTCCTGTACACGTATCCGTACGTGCACACACACTCACACACTCAGCCTCTCAGCGTTCATAGCTTCACTCCCTGCTTACTATAAACCCTCTAAAAGTTGTTCTGTTTGACACAGGATCTCTGTGTAGCCCAGCCTGACTTCAAACTTTCAGTGTAATACAGACTGGCCTTTAATTCACTATCCTCCAGCCTCAGCCTCCTGAAGGCTTGGATTACAATATTAATTTCTTGAAAACCATATATCCTTCATGTTTTTCCTTTTTACCTTAGCAAAACGTAGTATATATGAACTAGAACATTTCCAGTGTATATACTGTTTCTTGATAAGGTGTATCTTATGAATGATAACAAAAGTTTTAAATATGCCATTTGAAGATAGTTCTTATGTAAGCTAAGTAGAAGTCAGATGAAAACTGGGTAAGAATGATGCGCTTGCCAACATGTGTCCTTCCTTACACCTTTCTCTCAAGTGTTAAGTAAATATTAAAATTGAATTTTATTTAATTAATTGTGTGCATAGATGTCCTGGGGATTTTCCAATACTCACCCAAGATACTGATTCAGTGGGCAGAATTTTGGTTGTGGTATCATTATCCAATGTTTGGTTTTTAGGTTATTTGGAAAATCTCATTTTATCAACCAAATCCTGGGAACCTTGCTGCTCCAACTATATGAAACTAATGAGTTAGTTAATTAGCTCAGGAAACTATTTATCATTGTTCCCAAATAGACTGGAATATGTTTCCATTTAATGCATAAATTTCTTCAAGTGCTCTGTCCATCTGAGAAACCAAACTCTAAGAATCAAATTGATTTTCAGTTATAAAATTAAACTAGGAAGAGCCCCTTACTTGGCATTGCTCACTTACAATCTCATGGAGGAGAAAAACCATTTCCAGCATGTGCTCATACGGGCTTGGAATTCTCAGATGCTGGTAACACCATCCTTAGGAAGAAATCACACACTTTTTTATGGCCAGACACATAACTGGATGCAATTAGACTCTCATTTCCCCCTCATTGTCTTAATGTATAGTTAGTGTGAGTTTAAAAAAAATTTCCAAGCCTTGAAGATTTGCTCTTCTCTGATTCTTAGACTACAGCCCAGGCGTTGCTGCTGTGGGTGGGATGCCAGCGAAGGTGGTTGGGGCTGTCGTGAATCCGTGGTGGTTTTGCTTGTGCTTTTCTTCAGTGTGACCTCATGTCCAACTCTGCAGGTGCTGCTGTGTCTGCTGCACGGGAGCCTTCACAGTGTTTGGGTTTTGACTCATTTCTCTTTGTTTAGTTTTGTTTTTGTTAAAATCTTACATAGTCTTATCAACTTCCTTTACCAGATCATCTTTTTGTTTCTTGGATTCTGTATCCTGTATATTTTAATGGAAAGGTGTGTTTCATTAAATGACAATAACAGTCCTTGAATCATAAATAATGCCAAAGGGTGCATCCAATCGGATCCCTGAACTGCACAAACTGAAACCCTTAGAGGGGTGTTAGGACTTCTAACTCTTTAGGGTTTACTTTCTAAGTGTGCATGAGTGTGTGTGCATGAGTGTGTGTGTGTGTGTGTGTGTGTGTGTGTGCGCGCGCGCGCGCGCGCGCTCCCCGATGCTAGAAGAGGGCACTCCTAGACCTGGCATTGACAGGGGCTTGTCAGCAGCTGAAACTCAGATCCAGCCCCTTGACTTTAACCCTTGATTCTGAAAAGTTGCGCATTATCTTATGTGTGTTGATGAGGGTTCCACTGCTGTGATAAAATACCCAAGATAAGAAGCTTCAAAGAAGGGTGGATGTATTCTGTTCACAGTTTCAGAGGTGGAAGTTTGTGGTTGCCTGGCACCATTGAGCTATGTGCTGTGGGCTTGTGTTGAGGCGGAACCTCAAGACCAGGAGCATGTGACTGCGGAGTTGCTCTTGCCAGGATGCCAGTCATTCTCGCAGCCTTGTCCCCATGCCATGCTTCCCTTTTTTTTATTTTTATTTATTTTATTTTTTGTGTTTTGAATACATCCCAGAGTTTCCCCTCCCTCCACTCTTCTAGTCCCCTTACCTCACCCCCCAGATACACTTCTTCTCTGTTTCCCTTCAGAAAGGAGCAGACCTCCCTGGTGTGGGAGGTCCTTCTGTCTATGTGTTGCTTTTATTGGTTAATGAATGAAGAAACTGACTTGGCCTATAGCAAGGTAGAACTTAGTTAGGCAGGGAAAGTTAGGGTGAATGCTGGGAGAAAGAGGGCGACGTCAGAAGAAGCCATGGAGCCACTGCCAGAGACAGATATGTTGAAACTTTGCCAGTAGGCCACGAGCCTCGTGGTAAAATATAAAATAATGGAGATGGGTTATTTCTATATGCAAGCACTAGCTGGCAATACGTTTAAGTAATTGGCCAAGCAGCGATTTAATTAATACAGTTTCTGTGTGGTTATTTCGGGAATCTGTGCAGCCGGGAACACACTAGTGGCCTCTTACAGCATCTCCCCAAGATATAAGCTGAACACAGCATAAGAAGTTACAATAAGACTAGGCACAAACCCTCATATCAAGAGAGAATGAATGAGGCAACCCAGTAGGAGGGAGAGGACTCCATGTGCAGACCTAAGAGTCAGAGACACCCTCCAACACACACTCCCATTGCAGGGAGTCCCACAAGAACACCAAGCTACACAACCCGCAAGGTATGTGCAGAGAGCCTAGCCCAGATCGTCCGTGCAGGCTCCATGATTGTCAATTCAGTCCCTGTGAGCCTCATGAGCCCTACTTAGTTGATTCTGTATGCCATGTTCTCCTGGTGTCCTCTACCTGTCTCTTTCTTACAATTCCTCCTCCCCTTCTGTGGAGTTCCTGAGCTCCAAGGGGAGGTACCCATTGGAGATCTCCAGTTTGGGCTCTCTGCCTAATGTTTGGCTGTGGTCTTTGCATCTGCTCCCATCAGTTGCTGTGGCAGCCTCTGTGATGATGATTGGGCTAGGCACTAATCTGGCTTCTGGAAGCTGGCACAGCCTCTGGTAAAGCTGCAGTATGCAGTACTTCCTTCTGCTTAGCACCACCTCCCACTGATGTCACATGGCTAGGCATGAGCCTTTGTGGGACATGGTACGCCCAAACCACAACACCGATTTGTTTTTGTGTACAAATTGTAGGGGTGTGGCATGCATCTTTCTTTTTCTTGTGAAAGAAATGTAAACACAGCCATAGAGGAATTTGGTTTTAGATTGTTCATTTGTTTTGTCTCACTCGGTATCCCAGGCTGGCCCCAAATCTGTGGCAGTCTTCCTGCCTCCCTCTCTTGAGTGCTGGGATTGCAGCTACATTGACTAGCTAGTTTCAGTATTTTTAATGATCTTGTTCATCAATACAACAGATATTTAAAGTGAAATCAACTTTTCTTAAAATCTTTTCTTACAGGGTCAGATGACAACAATCTGAATTCCATCTTCTACGAGCATCTAACCAGATCCCTGCAGCACAGTCTTTGTGGGGATTTGCTGTTAGGAAGGTGGGGAAACTATAGTACCGGGGACTGTTTCATCCTTGCCTCTGACTATCTCAATGCATTAGTACACCTGATAGAGATAGGCAACGGCCTGGTCACTTTCCAGCTGCGGGGACTTGAATTCAGAGGTAAGATGTCCATTGCCCCTTTACTTTCAGAGAGTGCCTAAGTTTTCTATGTTTAAATCCCAAATGAGAAGTTCAGAATTGGCCACTGGGGAATGGCTTAGCTGCAAGAGCATTTGCTGCTCATCCAGGCTGAGGTTTAGGTCCCAGCACCCAGATCAGGTGGCTAACGACTCCGATTCCAGGAGATCTGACACCCTCCCCTGGCCTCCAAGCGCACTTGCATGTGTGTGGGTACGTGTACATGTGCTCAGGGACACGCGTGTATACATCAAATTATAAGTAAATCTTGGGGGGAAAGTTAGAAAATAGATCCCTGGGATTGTAACACGGTATTGGACCCCTCCACCCAAGTCTCATTGAAAGAAGAGTGATGTTGGTGCTGTGGGAGATCGGCCAGCTCGCCTGCAGGTGCTGCCTCCTTGCTTGTTCTTCACTTGCCAGGCCCCTTGTCACCAATTGTACATGTCTGTTCAAGGATGAAGGTGTAGATAGAACACTGAGTTTTTGTGAACCAGAAAGTAGTTAACTGAGCCATCATAAAATGCCCTACCATTATCTCCTCAGTAGTTGTTGGTGCTGGTGTTGTTTTCAAGACAGGCTATTGTGTAGCCCTAGCTGTCCTGGAGCTCACTATGTGTACACAGGCTGGCCTCAAATTCATAGAGCTCCACCTGCCTCTGCCTCCTCAGTGCTGGGATTGAATTGTGTGCTGCTACATCCAACCCTCTATAGTCTTCTCAATTAAAATGAAATCACATAACCTAAAAACAACTGTTTAAAAAAAAGGAAGTGGTGACCTTTAGTGTACATTCACAGTGTGCAGCCACCATCTCTAGTTCCAAAACATTATCATTACTGCAAAGTAAAACCTTCAGTTATTCCTCATTGCCCCCCCCCACCAACCCTCTGTAATTCTGTGTGCTGACAAACCAATCAGTTCTTTCTCCATAGAAAATCATACATTCAGAAAAATACCAACTTGAGTTATCAGATCCTGCAAAAATAACTAGTTTATCTACATGAGTGGTATACATGGAGATTTCAAGTTTTGTTTTTGAATATATTTCTAATGAGGATTATGCATCTGGAGAGTTTTAGCCTAGTTTCTAAGAAGGTCTCTGTGGTGTTTTTAGTTTGTAAGGAAAATAAGGAAGCATTTTCTTGGGAAAAGAGCCAATCAGAGGATAGTTTCTCTTGTCAAGGTAATTGGCCTGGGAAGTGCCCAGGAGATGAACAAACTGTGCTCTGCTGTGTCTGTTTCCATGGAGCTCCTATCCTGATGGGGCAGCATCCATCCACTGTTCACTGGTGATGAGTGCACATCTTTAGGGGCTTTTGCTTGATGTTAATGCAGTTATAATACCCATTAAAAAATTGTGGAGAATTATTAGTGGAAACTAAAGCACTACTTCATAGCACAAATCCCAGGCCTTCATGGCTAAAGCACGCGGTGCTTCTGCAGATGACAGAGTTGGCCTGGGCTCTGGAGTTCGCTGCGGTTTGGTGGGGACTACCCTAAGGCAAATCAGTCATATACCCTGAGTTGCCGGAAGAGGCGTCTTTTTTAAATTGTTGGTGCTCAGTAGGCATTCATTTTCCCAGTTGCTGTTTTTCTTTACCTTTGTCTATAATGATCTTGTCTTTTTTGAAGGTACCTATTGTCAACAGCGAGAAGTGGAAGCCATCACAGAAGGTGTGGAAGAAGATGAAGGATTTTGCTGCTGTGAGCCTGGCCATGTTCCTCATGTGCTGTCCTTTAATGCTGCATTTGGCCAGCGCTGGCTGGCTTGGGAAGTGGTCGTCACTAAGTATATTCTGGAGGGCTACAGCATCACTGACAACAGTGCTGCTTCCATGCTTCAGGTCTTTGATCTCCGCAGAGTCCTTACCACGTACTATGTCAAGGTAAGGGCGTGAGCCTCAGACCTGAGCACCGGAGGGCTTTCTTTGGAAAGAAACACACAGGCACATGCACACACAAAGGCCTATGTACATTTATAGTCATTCATTCATGTATGCATCCATTCATTTTTGCTATGCTAATAGTATATGCGTACCAAAGATGAAGCTCGGAGCTAGGTAAGTACTCACGACTCCCCTACCTTCCTCTTCCTAGCCTTTCAAACTTGTGCTTTGCTTCTGAGCAGTGATTTAAATTGTCTAGTATCTAGAGAACTCAATTAAAATATACCCATGGAAAAAAATAATGATAACGCCCCACCCCACGCAGGTCTTACTATTTCTTGTTACACTAATAACTGGAATTCATAGTTATGGTTTAGGTCTGTTGTGTATTCATGCACATGCATGGGTTTGCACGGCTCTTAAGACACTCAGATCTGCAGTCAGGTGGAGTTGACAGAAGTTTCCAGATTTTCTGAAGGTCACATTGAGACTATGGAGCTCGGTCCTAGATGAAGAGACTTATCAGGCCAGAGGGCAAAACCAGACCCCCTCATTGGCCAAGCTTAGTCCTTTATAGGTGAAGAGAATTTTTTGTTTTTGTTATTGTGGGTTGGTTTTGTTTGACCGAGTATCACTGTATAGCCCTGGCTGCCCTGGATCTTGTTACCTAGACCAGATTGATCTGGAATCTTCAGAGACACATGGCCTCTGTATCCCTGTTGGGATTAAACGTGTCTCACAAGACCCAGCAAAGTCAGTATTTTTAAGAAAGGAGTGTGTGGTAAGCCATGCTTTTATGATTGCACATTTGAATTTTTTTCAGTTTTTCATTATAACCACTAAGTTCTGGATTTGTGCTGATTTCGAAGGACCTTGAGCCTTCCATTCAGTTAGACCCAAGAAGCTAAAGAACTTGATTTGCATTTTTCTTAACTTGGGTGTTTGTGCCCGTGTGTGTGTGTGTCTGTCTGTCTGTCTGTCTTTGTGTGCATGTGTGTCTGTGTGCATATGTGTATGAGTCTTCATGAATGTGTATGAATGTGTGCCTCCTTTTATGTTTGTTTTTTACTTTATTTCTATCACTTGACTTTAGGAGCACTAAAAGTTTAAATAACTTCTTGTGAGAAAATTTTCTAAATAAATACAGCGTACTAATTTTCCACCTCTTTAAAAATACCCTGAATTTAAGCACTGAAATTGATAGGCTACAAGTTGCCTTACCAGATTTATGGTGTTAATCCTAAGATTCTCAAGAGAAAGAACAACTCTACAATTTTGAGCCAAATTTGAAGCAAACTTTAATTAAATGCAGGCCACAAAGATGGTCTCTGGTCAGGTCTACCTCTAGGTTCCCAGAGAATGGCCACAAGTCATGTTTTGCAGGGACTTAAAGGGCAAAACCCACAATTCCTTGCATATCCCATCAGATCCAATCAGGGGCAAGCATACATCCTGACACATTTCCTGCCTAATTACCTCCCACCCACATGTGATCAAGCATGTCCAGCACAGTTGATTCATACAGACTAGGGAAATGAAAACATGTGGCTTGTTATTTCCCGAGAGCTACAACGCCCACATTTCAGGAAGTTATCTGGTCCCTTTGCTGGTGGAGCTTACAGGTTACTTGACTCTCACAATGGTTGATTTTAAAGCACTGGATGGTGTTTCCATCTAGGAAGGCTCGAAGTAGCTTTCTTAAATTAGGCACAGGACATGGTGTTAAATATTTTGAGCTAAATTATCTGTAGGTATGATAAGAAATTGGAATGAATTTTTGCATTGTGATTTGATTGGAATTTCCTGTGTTTCTTAATTAGGGGATCATTTATTACGTCACAGCCTCCTCTAAGTTAGAGGAGTGGCTTGCGAATGAGACAATGCAGGAAGGACTGCGTCTGTGTGCAGACCGAAATTATGTTGACGTGGACCCGACTTTTAACCCAAACATTGACGAAGACTATGACCATCGTCTGGCAGGCATATCGCGGGAGAGTTTCTGTGTGATTTACCTCAACTGGATAGAGTACTGCTCTTCCCGGAGAGCAAAGGTAAGCTGTTGCTTGGCCTTTGTATCTCTCTGAATCCAGGTTTTCACAGAATGGGAGAATATCCTATTATTGTGAGTCAGTTTTTCCTGCACTTCTCAGATCCTCTGGGTTAGGCAGCATGCCTGTGTCAGAATGTTTGAGCCAAACCAGCTCTGCCAAGGCAGCTGAAGAGCATCCTTTTTTAGCATCCTGCTGGCATTTGTTTTACTGTAATCCTTCTAAATAGCCTGCTTGTGCAGCCGTGACTGCTGCTGGAGAGTGTAGACCTAGGACTTTCAGTACGAAATTAGGTAAAATTCAACACTTTGAAAATAAAGAGTGTTTTAGGTCTCTCCCAGGAAACTCTGATTCTGGAAATCCAAATCATAGACCTAAAATAGGAATCTCCCCATGACATTGATGCAAGTGTTTCCCCATGCACACATCAGGACAATTTGTCCTGCCCTAAAGTAAGATGAAGTACAGACTTTCCAACTACTCTTTCTTCTAGGTGTATAGCACTGTCATGTCCCTGGCCAGCCCTGCAAAACCACAGACCCCAAGACTGGCTAGGGCTCACTGTCTTCTCAGGGAAGGTCTGTGGAGCTGAGCACCCAGCATCCTGTTTACTTGGTATCCTGGAGTTAGCAGTGCCTGACAGCCAGTGTCTGTGGCTTTACCAAACCCGTTAGCCCTTACTTCCCAGCTGTTTTCAGGATCCCTGCCATCTTAGCATCTTCGCGTCAGTAGGAATGGAGTGCCTTTGTGCCCCTCTCTGAGTGGCAGCCTTTCACTTTACACTGATGTGCAGCAGAGCATATGCTGATGGGAGTCACCCGTCCTAGAGCAGTGATGAGTAGGCTACACACCCTTGTAGGCGGGCCAGCCAGGTACATGCCACAGGCAGCTAGGTGGTTCATTTGTTTTGTTTTTTGTACATGAGACATGCCTAAGGGGTTTTTGCCCAATGTTTTCAAATTTGAAGGGCATTTGATGCATGTGGGCATGTTGTTATAATATCCCTTTTGTGGCTTGGACAGTATTGAAGTGCATTATTTTCTTACTCAGAAATGGCCTCCATCCTCAAGTACTCTCAGGTTATTGGCCATTTGGCCATAGCTTGAAGAAATCCTACTAAATGCCCATACACCATATATTCAAAAGGCTCACCTTGGGGGCTGAGAAGGTAGCTCAGCATTTAGTGCACTTGCTGTCCTTCCAGAGGACCTGAGTTTGATTCCCAGCACACATGATGGCTCACAACCGTCTGTAACTCTAGTTCTGGGGGATTCAGTGCCCTCTTCTGACCTCAGGCATGCCTGTGGTGCATATACATGTGTGTGTGTGTGTGTGTGTGTGGGTGTGTGCAAACAAAATACTCATATACATAAAATAAGCATTTTTGAGGCCCAGTTCTGATCTGGGTGTCCCCAACCCCTTCAGACAGCCCACTCAGCCCTGGATATATTCCACCCACTGTATACAGTCCCTTTAGAATAAAGTTATTAGTGGTATTTTCTAGCAATATCTCCCTTCTGCTATAGTTTTCTTTAATCAAGTCAAAATTGTTCCCATCTCCTTAAGAGCAAGAATTCTGCTCCCATAAATCCCTTCCCAGAAGGACCTCCTCCTAGAAAAGCCCTCTAAACTTGAAGATGCGCTGGCTCCAAGCTCAAGGACACTCACCAGTGTGGCATCTGCCTCATTCTCTCCACTCTCCCTCTGAGACAGTATCCCATCAACAGAACTCTTCTCTGACAGTAGAGTTCAGCTCTTCCTTTCTCTGTCTGCCTTACCCGTGGGGTCTTTTCTGATTTGTTACATACCCACAGAGCTTCCCGGTATCTAATGTTCTTTATTTTAAAGCCTCTAGATGTGGACAGAGACTCTTCCCTGGTGACTCTTTGCTATGGACTCTGCGTTCTGGGCCGGAGGGCTTTGGGAACGGCCTCCCACCATATGTCCAGGTAAAGAGGCCACTCTGTTTTCCAGAAGGTATTGGGAAGGGGATGGGGCTGGAGAGATGGCTGAGTGATTAATAAGAGCACTAGCTGCTCTTCCAGGAGACCTGGGTTCAATTCCAAGCTCACATGGTGTCTCACAACTGTCTGTAACTCCAGTTTCAGGGGATCTGATGGCCTCTGTGAGTACTAGGCAGGTGTGTGGTACACAGATTCACACGGAAGCACAGCACACATACAGTAAACGAGCATGAGAAGCTCTCTGTGATGTAAACTAAATGTGTTTTGTTTGACTACTTGGTTGTGTTTTGAAACATTAATTTTGGGATATTTTACTGCAAAGTTTCTGAAAATTTCATTTTTCTATAAATGTTTTTGCTGAACGTCTTATGTTGTAGTAACTAACTGGCTTTCAACCTCCCACTTGTGAGAATAGCTACTAATTGTGACAATTTAATGGACTTTGAGCATTTTATAATCACTTTGTAAGATTTGATTGGTCTCATATTTTATCTATTTTTCTAATAAATTTCCTATATTTATTCATAATCTTTGTCTATATCATTTAGTGTAATGTGTATTTTAAAGGAGTAGTTCCTACTTTATAAATGTCTCTGGTTTCATGTTTCACACGAGATTCCTTCATTTCCCTCGCTACACAGGCTTTCTCCCATTGTCTGTCTCTGCGAGCCATTTCCCTGCTTCATAAGCAAGGCTCCCAGGCAAACAGGACCCATTTCCTGGGAGTCTCACTAAGGAGTTCAGACTTCAGTTTCTGGAGTCTGCTTTCAAAACTCCCCAGACGATTGTGATGCAAAGCAGCTAGGAGATTCAGTGTCATGAAGACCTCTGTCAAAATATGTGCCGTTTCTCTCCACCTCACAGTAACCTGGAGTCCTTCCTCTATGGACTGCATGCCCTGTTTAAAGGGGACTTCAGGATTTCCTCAGTCCGAGATGAGTGGATTTTCGCTGACATGGAACTGTTGAGGAAAGTAGTAGTACCTGGAATCCGTATGTCCATTAAACTCCATCAGGTAAGAGATGAGTTGGTTGTGTGTTTTTTAATTCATTTCAGAGGTTTGCTGATACTTCATGGTTTGATTTCCATGCTGTGTTTTGGGGAACCTTTGGAAAGGCTCTCATCTGAATCTAGGAAAAGCCTGACTCCTAGCAAGGCGTTAAATCCCAGAAGCCTGAACCCATGTTTCTCATAGTAACGGTAGTAGTGAATTTCAGTATTAATGTCCATCACCATTGATAATCTAGGAGCCGTGGCAAACTGAAAGGAGAGGGCTGTACCCCTGAAACGCTTGTTGGATTTCATGTGTTTGCAGTTCCTGTCCCCAGCAAACACCTGACAGCCGCAAGTGCCTCTGACTCCTGTAGGATGGCATGCTGCTGCCTTCTGCTTGGTGTGCCCCCGAGCGGCAGGCAGTCAGGACAGGCTCAGTGGTCACTGACAGTACTACCAGGGAGTGCAGTGAAAATTGGACCCCAAAATGTATTTGCAAAGCCCTGGACCCTTTGAGGAACACGCTGTGGATTGTGTGCTGGCACTTCTTCCTCTGGTCATGTCACTCAGCTGTGCTTACAGATCTGCGGTTTGAGACAAGACTCGGTACATTTAAAAGAAAAGACAGTGTCCAGGTCACTGGGGTGGGGAGTACTGTCTAGGGATTCAGCTAGAGTCTCCTGCACTCCAGGCAGGTGCTCTGCTGCTAAGCGCTATCCTCAGCCCGCTCTGAGAGACAGAGAAAGGTTCCTTAGGTTGTCCGGGCTGGCTTTGAACTAATGAGCGTCCCGAGTAGCTGGGATTACAGGCTTAATCACAAGACTCCGGCATAAAAACTTCCGTTTTCTATAGTTGAAGCCAGTGAGAAGAAGCATTTGAACAAGATTAAAACCTGCAGTTAGCGTGCCTGATAACGTGTGTCGGTCCTACTGTCACTGTCAGTTCCTTTCTCATCCAAATAACCATACTGATTCTAGTAAGCAGAGGTGGATGGAGGGACCTCTCCCACGGTAAGCATTTGCCAAAGGCAGCACAGTGTGCGAGGTCTCTTGTCTGTGGTCCAGGCCAGTGCAGAGTCGTTAGGAGTACTGTTATCCGTCAGGCAGGTCACAGACTTTATCTATAGGTTCTGCAAAGGCAGAGCTCTTAAGAGATTAATCCGTGGAGTTAGAGAGAAAGCTCAGCAGTTAAGAATTCATATAACTATTTTTTTTTAAGATTTATTTATTTGTTATGTATACAGTATTCTGTCTGCATGTACGCCTGTACACAAGAAGAGGGCACCAGATCTCACTACAGATGGTTGTGTGTCACCATGTGGTTGCTGGGAATTGAACTCAGGACCTCTGGAAGAGCAGCCCGTGCTCTCTACCTCTGAGCCATCCCTTTAGCCCCATACTACTCTTGACAGAAGACCCAAGTTCAATCCCCTTCACCCACAGCAGGCAGCTCACAACTGTCTCTAACTCCACTCCAGGATCTGACATGTACAGGCATCTGCACTCGCATGCACATCTGTACACAAACGTGTATATTTATATATACATAAGCAAAAATAAAATGAATTGAAAAAAGATTTTCATTGTAAAAGAGATGAATCCTGGTGTTGGAAGCTGTGTTGACCTGGGATTACCATTTGTGAACTTTGAACCTGGGAAGCAGTTCTGCCCCCATTGAGTTTGAGTCTTGCTACATGTAAAGGTGTTATCCAGCCTCCCTGGCAGGTGAAGGGAACGGGGAAGGGAGGACAGGCCACTGTTAGGCTTCATCACTCAGGTGCACAGCATCATTTTCATAGATTGCACCCTGGGGACTGGCTTTTTACTCCTCCTCTTCCCTGCCAGACATGAGCTATAGTTACTGGGGTTGAGCTGGGATGCGTATATGCCTGCATCAACCTTCTAGCTATGTGCAAAAGCAAACAGTAAGACAGCTGCATTTCCTGAATAACATTAGATCTGAGTTATGATTATTTTGATGTGTATCTTTAATCCCCTGTTAACTTGGAGGTTTTAAAAGGGATGCTCCCGTTGTCTCGTTCATGCTTCCTGCCTCAGTCTTGCAGACAATAGATGGCACATGTCCATCGTAGGGCTGAGTGGTCATAGAGACAAAGAGGCTCTTGGAGTGGCACTGGAATACCGAATCTATGTACAGTCACATGGAGAGGAGGGGCAAGGGCAGGATAATTGGCATGTTGCAGCTATTACAAATGTGTGTCTTTATAGAAAGTTTATTTAGCTTATAAAGAGCACAATGTAGAGACCTTTTGAGGCTCTTAACTTGTGTGTGCAGGCCAGTGAGACGGCCCAGTGGGTAAAGGCACTTGCTGCACAAACCTGGAGACCTGAGCTCAGTCCTGAGAGCTTATGACAGGGTGGAAGGAGAGAACCAACTCCACAGAGCTGTTTTGTGACCACTACATGCATACATACTATACACACACAAAATTATAAACTTTAAACATGTGTAAATAAATATGTGAAAACTACCTTGAAAGAGGTAAAAAGACAATTTATGAAACTTGGAAATGATGCTTAGTTACGTAAAGCCTTGGAGAAAGTGTTGGTTAAAGAGCTGAGACATGTATAAAACAGTAACCCAGTTAGTAGAACAGTAATGCGCATGTTCATAACAGCACTCATATGTATAATAGGAAGTTAAGCCCATTTGTAAGAATTTTTGCTTATTATCCTAGAACTTATTTTCCTTTTTTCCAAAACAAAACCAAAAATCTACATGTGCTATTTCTGTGTTTAGGACCATTTCACTTCTCCAGACGAGTATGACGACCCCACTGTGCTCTATGAAGCCATTGTGTCTCATGAAAAGAACCTAGTGATAGCCCACGAAGGGGACCCAGCTTGGCGGAGTGCAGTGCTCGCCAACTCCCCCTCCTTGCTGGCTCTGCGGCATGTCATGGACGATGGCACCAATGAGTACAAGATCATCATGCTCAACCGGCGCCACCTGAGCTTCAGGGTCATCAAGGTGAGTCTGCAGCACAGGCCTGTGACAAGGGAGACTGGTCAGGCGTCTTAATCCAGCCTCCCAAGTGTGGTTGTTTATACCTTGCTTTATGAACACCCACTTTCAGAATTCCCTCCGCCCTGTGAGGTTTTCTTAGATGCAATAAAGCCGTTAGTTTGTTTAGTTTATTTCAGGGCTGGTGGACTTTTATCCATTACATATGAAATCTGAACAGTATCCTTCTTTAAAAGCCCACACTTGGCAGGCGGTGGTTGTACACATCTTTAATCCCAGTACTTGAGGAGGCAGAGGCAGGTGAATCTCTGTGAGTTCAAGGCCAACCTGGTCTACAGAGTGAGTTCCAGGAAAGCCAGAGATACACAGAGAAACCCTGTCTCAAAAAGAAACAAACAAAAAAACAAACAACAAAAAAAAAACCCACAGCACTCCACTGCTAATGAGGTGCTCTCCTCATTTAAAAGAGAATAGCAAAGCTTGTGCCTCATTGTGGTTCAAAGCTGACTGTAAGTGGTTTGTTCCTTAAATTCTCTCTCACCCTCTCTCAGTCTGCACATACGTGAGTGTTCATGGATGTGTATGTATGTGTGTAAATGTTTTAGGGGTTTAGGAACGTTGGTTTTTGAAATTAAAAGTTTATCATGATTCACTTTGATCTCTTTAAGAGTGCGTGTGTGTGTGTGTGTGTGTGTGTGTGTGTGTGTGTGCGCGCGCGCGCGTATGTGTGCGCGCGCACACCCTAGTGCGGCCGGCATTCTGTGGAAGCTGGAGAACAGCTTTCAGGAATTGGTTCTCCTTCCACCACACAGGAGGGCACCAGGGATCACACTCAAGTCACCCGACTTAGAAGAAAATAGCTTTACCTGCGGAGCCATCTTGTCCACCACCGATCTTTATCTAGTCTCTTAATCAACCCCAAAATATCACAAACATCCTCTCAAATTGAAATATGTGTTGCTGCTGTCTTTTCCATCAAAACCATTATCTAGTGCACTAGCTTGGCAAAGGAGCTCATTTTACTTAGTTTCTAGAAGGTGTAGCAAGAGAAAGTATACCATAGGTGCCTACTACTTAGCAGTCAGCTATTCAAGAAGACATTGACTAACTCCTTTCACAGGTGAGCTTGTGTTCATAGCTTTTCAGTTGGTCACCACACTGTGTCACCCATTTCTGCACCTCTTTTCTTGACCTTTGTCCTTGCCCTTCCCTGTCCCATAGGTGAATAAGGAGTGTGTCCGAGGTCTCTGGGCAGGGCAGCAGCAGGAGCTGGTTTTTCTCCGGAACCGGAACCCCGAGAGAGGCAGCATCCAGAATGCAAAGCAGGCGCTGCGGAACATGATAAACTCGTCTTGTGATCAGCCTATTGGCTACCCGATCTTTGTGTCACCCCTGACAACGTCTTACTCTGACAGCCACGACCAGCTCAAAGAAATTCTTGGGGGACCAATCAGCTTGGGAAATATCCGGAACTTCATAGTGTCCACTTGGCACAGGTAGCGGGCTTGTGTCCTGGGCTGCTTTCTCTCAGCACTGTGTGTCAGCTCACCTAGGAAGCGCGTAGGGAAGATGGAGATGCTGGGGTGTACTCCACCTGAACATCAGGAGGTAGAAATCAGCTCCTTACCTTCAGAAACCGAGATGAACCTTAGTCAGGCTCAGCTAACAGTGGAGCTCATGTACCTGTGGCGATGTCAGCAGAACTCTAGCTTTCCCTTTGCCCCTGTTCCTGTGTTTAACTTCCTCATTCTGCTGCGACATCTTGCCTCTCGTAAGAGAAAGACATTGGAACCTTGCATGTGGATTGCTTTCTTTGCTCCTGCACTCCTTCTCAGCAGCAGGGAGCACTCCACACAGCCAGTTGTCACCATTGCAGCAGTCCAGTCGCCACCCAGATGCGGTTCCTGAGTGTGCAGGAGTATGTGTGTGTGTTTCCCTCTGCCTTCCTTGTCTAGTGAAGCCTGACATAGGTATAGGTGCGTCATAGTTCGGTGGATGGTAAGGACAACTATAGGTTATTGTTCTCAGTTTCTATTTATCAGAGCACTAGGAAACAGAATGTGAGCTAGAGCTACAGACTCTTAGTGGTGTCTTTAAATTTTCCAAGGACTAGCCAGTGCTTAAAGACTCAGGTTGGGTTACTGTCTAACAGCATAAGCCAGAAGAGTATTCACAGTTTCATTTTCAGAAAACCTCTGTTAGCTACAGTGCCTGCCAGAAACTGACCCCTGGGAGAGGTAGCATACAGATAGGTTGCTGGGACCAAGGGTGTTCTTGGCGCAGGGTATCCAGTACAAACCAAGGTAAGCCTGCCCCATTAGGGCAGCTGTTAGTCTTCCTGTATTTAAAACAACAAAAGCCAAACAGCAAGATGAAGCAGCGCTCTAGCAGCAGATCCTGCAGCAGTGTAGACAAACTGGGTCTCTGTGCTCAACAGATACTGGCAAGAATTCTGTTGCCAAAGCTTGGTGTGGTGGCTTGTACCTGTGATCCCAGCATTCAGGGCACTGAAGCAGGAGGAGAATTTAAGAATATATAGAGTTCTTGAGCAGCCTGGGCTATAGGATGCTGTTTCAGATGACAAAGATTGCTGATTCCAGCTGGGGTCCTGAGAGCCCAGCTGTTCTGCAGTTCTTCATCACACTGTATGGACAGTGGGTGCAGAACTGTAGAGTTGGTGGGAGGAGTTGGGACGCGGGGGAGGGGCACAACGTGCTTCTCAAGCCACTCTTGGGAAGGGGACTTGTTCCCGAGCCTCATTTTACCGTAATGACGTTGGGAGGTAGCTATGACAGTCCTGGTACCCCAGAAGAGTGGAAAGGATCAGAGGGTTGTTTGAAGTGATCCAGGGCTAATGCTTTCTACCTTGGAATTTGTCTCTAGGTTAAGGAAAGGTTGTGGAGCTGGCTGTAACAGTGGTGGCAATATTGAAGATTCTGACACTGGAGGTGGCACTTCCTGTCCTGGTACCAACGCAGCCACAGTCAGTGATCCCCACAGCACCGGGTCCCAAGGAAGCGCTGGAAACCAGGGACAGGCAGCAGGATCAGGGCTGCACCCACCCACCACATCGTATCCTCCAACACTAGGTAACTCAAGAAAAAGTTATGTTAGATGTTGGCCCCTTCCCATGCAGCCAGCGTGTGTGTGTGTGTGTGTGTGTGTGTGTGTGTGTGTGTGTGTGAAGTAGGAGTGTGTATTGGTAATGGGAAGCATGTGTTTCCTTGATATCCAGGAGTGCATTATAGCATTGTTACATCAGTCATTGATGCACATGTATAAATCTTGTACTTCACTCTTGCTTTATGCAAAATATTACGGGTTTGTGTGCACACCTTTAATCCCAGCATCTCTGAGTTTGAAGCCAGCCTGGCCTGTAGAGTGAGTTACAGCATGGCCAGGACTATAGAGATAGACTCTGTCTCCAAAAAAAAAAAAAACAACAAATTTTATATATATATATATTACATTTTAAAAGCTAATAATATATAAGTGTTGTATTTTATCTAATTTTTATCCTGTAGTGCAGTAGCAGGCTTCTTCTGACTTTACAGTATTTTTGTATGTAAATCTTTGTAATCACAGGGACTCAGTGTGACAGACCTCGTAAGTGACCTGATGCCCAGCCCTGAGAGTCTTTGCAGGAGGTTTCTCTAAGTGGGCATCCTCAGAGCCTTCTACTATGAGCTTCTCCTGTTACCTGCCTCTTGAGTAAATCTAGCTCGGGCACAGCCGTGTCCTTGTGTACTTGCCTTTCTCTCTCTCTCTCTCTCTCTCTCTCTCTCTCTCTCTCTCTCTCCCCAGCACTTTTCAGGCACACAAATCTTAGCACGCACTGTAGCACTGAGCCCTGTGCTGCAGTCCCCTCCAGAAGCTGCCCTTCCAGCCCTGCAGCTCCGCGGCCCCTGCTTCCCACCCTGCCCCATCAGCTGCCATTCCGCTCTTGGCCTCTGAGTTTGACACTTGGATTCCACATGGATGTGAAACCAGGCTGTGTTGTTATTTTTATTTTATGTGTGAGTGAGCACATATGTGCAGTGCCTGTGGAGGTCGGAAGAAGGGGAAGAAGGGGTCACATCCACTGAAACTGGAGTTACAGATGGTTGGAAACTGTTACATGTGTGCTGGAAATCGAACCCAGGTCTAGCAAGAGCAGCCAGTGCTCTTACCTTCTGAGCCATCTCTCCGTCCCCACACAGTGTCTTTAAACATTTCTGATTCTGTCATTTCCAAAGTAACTTATCTCATTTATTTTTTTACATTCTTATTTATCTGAAAGATTTCTGTAAAAAAAAATATTTTAGCATTTATTCTAACCTTAAATCCAAACATTTGCTGTAAATTATTTTTTTCTTATACCGTAGAATTTGAATTTTAAAAAGCTTTTAAGAAACAACAAAATAATTTTATAGAAATACAAGAAAATAGATCTCAGGTATTTATTTCTTTTTTGTAACCTTTAAAGTTTTAGACATAAATGTTAAATTCTGTAAAGTTTATGGAGTGATTGCTGAGGGAGACATTGAAGAAAGCACAGCACGCAGCCCAGGTGTGGCTTGTCTTCTGCTGATGGGGGCTGTCGTTGCTTCCTGCCAGGCACTAGCCACAGCGCCCACTCGGTGCAGTCCAGTCTGGTCAGACAGTCCCCAGCTCGAGCCTCCATGGCCAGCCAGTCATCCTATTGCTACAGCAGCCGGCACTCGTCCCTCCGGATGTCCACCACGGGGTTCGTGCCATGTCGGCGCTCCTCCACCAGCCAGATATCTCTTCGAAACCTGCCCTCATCCATCCAGTCCCGCCTCTCCATGGTGAACCAGATGGAAGGCAGCAGCCAGGGCGGCACGGTCTGTGTGCAGCATGGCCTGCCCTCCTCCAGCAGCTCTAGCCAGAGCATCCCGGCCTGCAAGCACCACACCCTTGTGGGCTTTCTTGGGGCAGAAGGCAGCCAGAGCGGAGCCCCTGAGGCCCAGCCGGGCAGCACCTTAAGTTCTGCCAACAGTTCCCATGCCAGAAAGGGAGAGGTGATTTACAGGGTCCAGGTGAGCAGGCCAAGAGCCTTCCTGCTGCTTCGCTTTGTCTGTTTTCTTGTCGAATGGGGGGCTCCTGTGAAAATGTCATTTACTTAGGTGAGGGATTGGAGCACTTTGCAATGTTGGGGAAATTTTTCTGCCAACTTAAAAACTGAGAGAGGAAGTTTGTCCAAAAGGAATTGATTCGGGGCTGTTTAGATTTTCATTCTTTAAGAAAAAAAAATCCACAGTAAGCAGTAGAGAATTTAAAATGCAAAGAGTCCTCTGAGAGAAATTTTGCTTAGTCTTAGGTTTTTTCATCATCAAGGGAAAATATGAATTGAAATACGTATCTGTCTAGATTGTGGATCTCAGTCAGATTCTGGAAGGGATCAACCTGTCAAAAAGGAAGGAGCTTCAGTGGCCTGATGAAGGAATTCGGTTAAAAGCAGGGAGAAACAGCTGGAAAGACTGGAGTCCTCAGGAGGGCATGGAAGGCCACGTAAGTTCCCCTTTGGTTTGGGCTGTGTCTGCTTGAGTCCATACAGAGCTGCCCTGGGGGCTGAGTGTACGGCGCCTTCAAGGCCTAACTGCTCGTTTTGTTCTGATTACCAGGTGATTCACCGATGGGTGCCTTGCAGCAGAGACCCAGGTACAAGGTCCCACATCGACAAGACAGTGCTCCTGGTCCAGATTGACGATAAATACGTGACTGTGATTGAAACTGGGGTGCTAGAACTGGGGGCCGAAGTGTGAGCCTGTGCTGCACCCCTGCGCTCCTTTCTCTGGCTGAGAAAGTACGGTTGCCGAAGTTCACCTGCAGGGACCGCCTGCCCTTCACAGCAGAGACTTGAACAGCGGCTTGGTTAAGCGCCTCCAACCCGACTCCTGTCGCTGTCTCCATCCCCAAATAAAGCTGAAATATTTTTTTAAGTTAGCTGCATGAAAAGCAAAATTCTGTTGGGGCCTGTCTGTGAAAGGCTCTCTATGCATTTATGCTTTAACCCACAGACTCTTGTCTCTAACTCTGAGCTCATATTTTTCTAATTTCATTGCCAAAAACAGTTGCCATGGTTTTTGTCGTAGAAAATGAAATCCATTGACCATGATTTTTACAAACAGATCCATGTGGGAACTTTGGGTTCGACACCTAACAGTATGAAAGTTTAATGTACAGTGAGGAAGATGATGGATAGTGGTAGGTTTACCTTATTCCTTGAAAGCTAAAAACTTTAATGAAAAAAAACTGCACTAATTTTTTACAGCAATGCACTAAATCTGAGATTTCTCAGAACATTTATTTATATATAAAAATAAAATACCATTATTTAAATTGCCTTCAGGATTAGCCCCTCCCTTTCCTGACACATAGCCAGCAGGAGCTGCTGTCCCCTTCCTGTTAGTGTGCTGGACTCTGGAGACACACACATAGCTTCATCCCTGATGTTTCCCGGAGCTGGTGACCAGAGGTTCGGCCTGGCGAGCGCCACCACCAGCTGCCCTGTCGCGTCTGACGTGTGCCGCGCGCTCCTCCCAGCTGGTGGCAGGCTCTGTGGAGTTGCTTCTGGAACATGCTTTTGCTTTGCAAGAAGATGAAGGCCCAGGAACTTACAGAAAGGATTTGCCTTTTATTTGAAGAGTTCCTAGCTCTTGAAGTCATTCACATGAAGTTCGGTTTCTCAAGTAAAATTTTTTCAAACAAAATGGTCTATGTGGCGCCGTTCTTGTCCTGCCGTCTCAGCAGATCTGCACTTTGCTGCCTCTGTGTTTTTTCTATTACTTGAATTTATTTCCTGTAATTTATAGTGTATACCTGTCATTTAAAATATTTATAACTGTGAAGTTGACTTGATTCATATGTTGTCTCATAATTCTGTTGGTTTTTTTTAGGAGCATGTGTTCAGGGAAGTATGTACCTTGGTTAACGTGCGGCTGCGTGCGAGCTGCAGTTTAATTTCACTGCAACTTTAAGCATTTTCTAAATGCTTTCAAATCCCCTTTGTTTTAAACTCCAAAGAAAATTGCCCCGTCTCCTGAGCACCTGGGAGCCGCCATCTGTCTCCCCATGGACAGACGGCAGGAAGAAGCCTGTCATCCAGCTGAACTGTGACCACTCCACAGTGTGGCCCTGGCCAGTTAACTCAGGGGCTTCTGTGGGAGCTGAGAGGAGAGAGCTGTTGTCCCCACTGACTAGGCTCCTGGTCACAAGTGTCCTAACGGTACAGGAGATAGGGTGAGAGCTGACAGCAGCCGGGAGGCGTCTCTCCACACCTGTGCTTCTAACCCTGTTGGTTTTTCTCCTTGTTATTTTAAAAATCAGTGGTCATTCAGAACCCAATGTGCCTTGTACTGACATTTCCATAGACTTCAAACTTTGCAAACTTTATTGTTTAAAATATTTGTCAAATGACTTAATTGAACCTTTTCAAAAGGAGCCCTTTCTATTTCTAAATTGACTACTTTCGAGTGTATTTTCCTGCTCCTGTTGCTCTATTCTGTTAGCTCGTGTGCGCAGATCCTTGCTGTACGGTATGTTCAGTAGTGGTGATCTTTCTGAAGCTGGAAATCCAGTCTGTCTGTCTGTGTTGAAAACTTCCCAGCGAAATTGTGCTCCCAGATACTTGTGTGTTCCCTGTTCAAAAATGGGCTTGATCTTTTCCTAGGTGGAGACGTGGAGGGTGTGCAATCTAAAGGGGAGACGATCCGTCTTGCCACAGAGAAAGCATCAGAAGATGAACTTTAGGTGGTTTGGCCAAAGGTCAGAATTGTATTTATGCCTGATCCCCCTCATAACTGTTAGGTATTACATGCTCTGAAAGTAGGATTCCATATGTAAGATGGGGTCCTGTATGGAACATGTACATTGATTTGAGAAAGTTGGACATTTTTCTTGAAATAAGATGTTGTCACCATATAACTTTATTAAATTTATAAATTAGGAACCCAAGAGAAGTCTTGTTTTTAGTTTTATAATCTAAAACTGGTGACCTTAAAACCACTTTTCTAATTTCAGCAGGAGATAGTGATAATTGAAGATTTGTGTTTTAAGATTTAATTTATTATAGTTTTTTTTTTCTTCCCAGTATCCACCTGGATAGCAAGCTAGTATTTTAGATTTTCTGCCCAGCCTTTCTTCTCACTAAAGTACAAAATTCCAGCATACTTCAGTGCTTTTAACTAATTTTGCAAGTAATTAACTTTCGATTTCCTTTAGATACAACCGTATGAGTGAAGTCCCTGACTTTCTTATCTCGCCCCACTTTGAGAGGACAATCCTGGAATGGCCTTGATTTCATCTTCAGTGACAAAAACAAAGTCTATTTTGTGTCCCTAAACTGGGGCCTCCCTTTCTACACCATTTTCAGGAGCTGATAAGACTTTTTGCTAAGGAGCTTTACTTTTTTGTCCGTGAGTCTAGATTACCATGCAGTGATGCTGCATTTGGGACTGGGGAGGGTGGTGATGGGGGAGGGGGGGACTTTACAAGAAGACAGTAATTACTTTCGAGGTGAGGGAGAGGGAGCAAGAGTTCAGTCTTCTGACTCTGTCTCCGCTAGCAGGGAATAAAGGTCCATTAGATTGGAGGTGTTTTGAAAATTTTTTTTTCAAGTATATTGATGATAATTCCAGTCTTTGAACGAGAAGATAGCAAACAATATTTCTCTCTTGAAAGACACCTAGAGAGTGACTCTGGGTACTGACTGTCAAACAGTGCATATGCAATCTTGTAGGAAACATAACTCACTATGAACACTTTGGAGATTAGTTTATATTTCTATCTCCTATCAAAATAGAAAACACAGCTCACACTTGAGCAAGGGACACATTGCCTATGTAAATTCTGCCCCGTTTCCTGCCAGCACCTTTATGCCTCAGCCTAGAACTTACACGATGGGTTGCTGTCTTGAACAATTCATCAAAAACTGGGTATCTAATGTTTGCCCAGTGCCTAAAATCATCTCTCTTTTTAGCTAAATTTCTAGCATCCTTTGTTCTAAATATGTAACTCGGGGAAAAAGGTGGTGTGTGAGATCTCTTTGAATTTCTGTTTACTAGCTACTTAAATACAAACTGCTGTCCAGTTTAATTGCTCTTAGATTTAAAACACTTCCTCACTGATACAAGCAGATTTATCTCTGGGTTTTTATTTGTAGGTCATCAGTATTCTTTCTCATATCTTTAATAGTCGTGTAAAGTCACTTTGGACACAGACCCACTCAACTTTTCCCTGTGGGACAGTACTGTTCAGATAGGATCAGTCCCTTCTAGAGGCATTTTCTGTAACTCCAAAACCAGTTGAGACTCAAACAGTGCGTGGAGCCTGTTGATAGCCTTTGAATTTTCTGTCGCAGTCTTGGATGGATATTGAGTTTTACTGATCAAGAGGAGGTAAATTAGATACTGCAGTGTATGTTTAGGTGGTATAAATTTTAATGTGTTGGATAGGAGGCATTTTTAAAAATAAGTGTTTAAAGCCAGCCCTTTTCTTCATTTCTCTTTCACAATCATCTAGTTGATGCACACCCAAGCCATCTCGGTTGAAACGCGTTGCCTATTCACAGGCTGTAGTTGGAAAGCGAGTGGTTATCAACTAGGTCCGGAAGGATCTACCCTTGCTTGAATACGGAGGTCTGTTTTGTGATGAGGCACCTCCCCGGAGTCACCATGCGTGAGCTGAGGATTTCTTTCTTGCCTCGGAACAGCTGTTCTTTCTGCACTGGGGCAGACGCTCACCTGTAAGCTGAACATCCTGATGTCTACTTTGTGGACTCAGCATAGAGGTGTCTGGGGAACTCAAGCTGGTGGCCATGTAGGCTACCCACAGCTCTGACGTCACGCCACACCTATTGTATAGGCTCTCCCTTCATTATGATTCATTGGAACCGATAGGAGGAGCAGAGGTCCTCCGACAGGTAGTGAGGATGAATCCCTGCCACCTGCACACTGGCCACGGAGGATGTGATGGCTGCTCCAGATGACTCTTGGGTTTGGTGTGCTTGTCTTTGGACAGAATTCTCTGTATTTGAAGCTTGAGTCTGAAATCAGAACAACAGAAACAGGGAGGGTCGTATTGGCATGTGCTTTTTTTAAGCAACAGGTTCAGTAAGTTGTCAACACTGGTTACGTTAACCCTGTGCACTCCTGGCAGTGAGTTCCGCATGAGGACAGGGAGAGGGCATGTTGGGAATAGTTGCGGGTGAGTGGGCCCGTGGGAGGAGTGTGGCTTTGCCTTTTCTGATCATGGGCTCTCAAAGGTCATTGCCTTCACGGCATTCAGTAACCAGAGATAAGGATATGACGTGTCCTTGCGCGTGCGTGTTTGTGCGTGTGTGAGTATTACTATAAGCAGCTTGTAAACACTGCAGTTGTTTAAAATGGAAATAACAGCCAAGAGGTCTTTTGACATATATTGATCAGAAAAAAGACAGTATTGACCATGGATAAAAACAGGAAATAAATTTTTTTCATTTTGCCTTCTGTCCATTCTTTGTCAAGTTAAGAAAAAAAAGTAGAATACCGTATTCTGCATATTTTTGAAACCACACTTGGTTCTGAAGTAAAGTTTTAAGCCTGTAAACGTGGTTTTGGCTTACACCAGATAAAAGTACACTGTGTTTCCTCCCTCTGAGTTAAATATTACATGTTAATGGTAGAACATGTCAGGTGATAAGCATGCACTAAGTCAAAATGCAGAGGGAGAAAGAAATCTCAGTGTACGAAGGCTGTGCACTCACAAACCAGCGTCTTCACAAGTTCCTCAAGATGCAGGCATGTGCACGAGGTCCTTGTGTGGCACTTCAGCCTCTGAGAACCAGTGGAAGCCAGGTTATTCGCTTTCTGCACCAGAATCGCCAAGAGTTTGCTCCCTCTCTCCTGGCACAATGGTCTGTCTTCAGAACAGCATAGGTCTATAACAGGAAACCTGCCAGGGAAGCGAAGGAAGGAAGGGGTCCTCTTGAGAGTCACACTCATCTCGGAGTTGAGGCCTGGGCTGTTAATAGCGGACGTGCATCCCACGAGACCTCCACCTTTCTTGTAGTGCAGTTCACTTAGGGGTTTTCATCCCAGATGATGTAAGGATGCTTTACTGGCTTTAACCGTGTGGGACCATCTTTCTCTGAGATGGGCCAGGTGAGCCTTGAAGGGTCATGTGAGTGTGGCTTCCTGACTATTCAGCCAGTACTTGACATAAGTGAACGAGCTGTGCCAAAGGGGAAAGTCGGGTTCATGGTTCCTTCTGTTTCTGAGAATATTGGGTAAGCACATACTTACTATTTATTTTATGTATGTAATAATATTAACTGGCCTGCCTGAGAATACACCAGGTCTCTGGTCTCATCTTGAAACCTGTTCATATCAAAGTCAGCATCCCGGATATCCCAGGGCTGAGGCTTTGCTTCAGAGGAGGGAGTGGTTGCCCGTCTCCTTTTGGTGTCTTTCTCTGGGGCACTAATTTTACCCTGTAAATTGCTGGAGGAAATGCAGGGCTGAGGAGAAAGTTGACCCACCGTGCAGTCGCCACACAGGCTCCCACCAATCCCACAGCAAGTTCATCGTACCCCGCGCCTCTTCAAAGTTGCTCCAGATGCAAGGACTAGGTCGGGCCAGTTAGTAATTGCAGGCTTCTCCTGGGGGAGACCTGCCTCCAGAAGTGAGCACCCTTGATTGAGGGTACTTACTGGGCAGGGACTTAGTACAGTCCAGGGAATGGGTGATTCTTCAGAGTCCAGTGGCTCACAGCCTCCATACCAGAGCCTAGAGAGAAGGGTTACTTAAGAGTTCTGGATGGGCCGGCAACTCTGTTGAGCAAGGGACATGGAATATTTTCCCCATTTTCAGCTCCAGTGCCGGATGCAGGCTATGGGCAGGAAAGGGTCTTGACCGCAGGAACTCAAAACTAAACCAAGGGAAGGTCAAGACCCATGTCAGCGGGTGTGTGGCTAGGAGGACAAGGCAATCCTTTAGTATGGTGAAGCTGATCGTGGGCTTTGGCGCTCAGTTTTCTTCATGAAACACACAAATCAAAGATTTCCTTCCTCCAGGAGGGCTGAAGCAAGGACGAATCATGCCCACCTGTTAGGTCTGTTCCTCTTCAACAAGGATACACAGGACTAGAGAGCTGTATCTGGTGGGCCATCATGAAGAGCCAAGCAGAGACAGTGTTTCCAGCCCCACCTAGGACAACAGCGTGCTCAGGATAGCCTTTCCTTTTGTTCTAGAGGAAACGAGAGCCCTGGGATCCAGAAAGCCCCTAAATCTCAGCCATTGAAACGAAATGGCTCTGCCATGTCCCTGAGAGACTCTGCCAGGAGGTGGCAGCAGAAGCTCACACTGGACAGACAGGTGGGCTGGGCGTGCAGAGAGCAGTACCCTTGAGATGCCTTTCCTGAAGCAGGTGAGGCACGAAAACAGACCCTGTGTGAGTGGCTACCCACGGGTAGGCCCAGCCTGGCCATTACTCCCTGGCTCCTGGGTCTGCTTAACACTCAACGCCCTTGAAATCCTTTCCCTGGCACACGTCCATATAGGCCCTGCAATCATAAAACTCGAAATCAAGATTGTATTAGAACTTATCAGACCTTGAAGCCTCAATTTTGTACAAGGAGCTTCGCCCCTTAGGAACAACAACAACAAAAAGTTGAACTAAATCTTTGGGCACTCAGGTCCCTTGTATAAAATAGGGTGCTTGTATGTAGCCTGCACACATCCTGTATGCTCTGAGTGTGTGGTTTAGGGATTGGTCTCAGATCCATGCACATTCTAACTAAGTGTACTGCCCCTGAGCTTTGTCCCCAGGACTTCTGCTGTATGCCTTGTGTCCTCTAGATACTCCTGATGCCCAAACAATATAAACACTATGCAAGTAGGTGGTAAGCTGCGTTGTTGAAATTAATGACAAGAAGAGAAGCAGGTGTGTTGAGTCGCTGAGTTCGTCTCTGGATGCAGCATCCCAGGGTACACAAGGTTTTCCTTTGTTCTCTGGTTCTTCACATGGGTACCATGTGCGGCTGTAAAGGTGGTGATTCCCACAACTGCCAGGATGAGCTGAGGACCCTGGGCTCCTCTCAGGGATGGGCGTTTCAAGATAAAACACAAAGTACCCTGCTTTCCATCCTGGCAAATGGGCAAGCTGGCTAGCAAAGTGGGTAGGAAGCCCGCATCAGCAGCTCGGGCAAGTTGGGATAAGCAATGTGCCTGAGTGATTCAGTATAACTGGAGGCAGCCAGTGCCCCATGCAAGAACCTTAGTTCTGCCTACATACTCAGATGAGGGGACACATGTACACACACTCAGGGGACACATACCTGCACACTCAGATGAGGGGACACATGCACACACACATGTGCATTCCTAGTGTGACAGAAACCACATGTGATATCTCAGAGTTTAGTACAGGGAGAAAGTAATCTGTTAGCTGGGTGAAAGAGACCAGTGGGAATGGAAGAGGGCCCCATGGTGACAGGGATGGTGATCGGGAGGCAGCCCCTGACAAGGGAGGTGAACAGAGTAAACAGGCTGGAGTCACCTGAAAGTTTGACAGCATTCGTTTTATTTATGATATTGGACTGAATGCTGTTGTGAAGACCTAAATGACAATGGCTGGGACACCGCAGAAGCACGTATCTTCCTGAACATAACAGCATGGCTTCACTCGAGGACGCCTGCCTAAAGGGGTGCTGTTTCCTGGAACTGAGCCTTCCCTGCTCAGTGGCGAGCAATGCCCAGCATCCGCAGCCCAGGTTGGGTCTTGGGAAAAACTTGGGGAAATAGCTACCCTCCTCAATTTGGTTTTTGTTGTTTGTGTTTTTGTTGTGATCTTCCTGCCTCACCCTTCAGAGTACTGTACCCAGCTGTACTTGTTTCCTTTAAGGCCGCACCCCTGAAGCTGCTAAATCCCCTTGACTAGAACATAATCACATGGCCATAGGGATGCTAGGAGATGTAGACTTTGCTTCATGTAGCATGTACCTACTATAATTCAGGGGCTGCAAGGGTGAGAGAAAGCAGAAGTCAGTTATCAGAGACCACTGAGCAGCGACCAATAAACACACAGGAATATGTAGATATCAGGGTCCTCGCTGCATCCTTTGTGAAAACATGTAGGTATCAGGGTGCTTGTTGCAGCCTCTGTAGAAACAGTAGATACTGGGATGCTTGCATCCTTTGTGAAAATATGTAGATATCGTGGTGCTCACTGCATCCTTTTTGGGAAGCTGTAGATATTGGGGTGCTCGCTGCATCCTTTGTTGTCACTGAAGAAAACCATCTGAATGAAACCTAGCCAAAGGGGAGTGGTTACAGAATGCCGCATTTGCTCAGTGACTCAACATGCCGCAATCCAAAAAGGAATGTGGTGGTAGCTGAAGAGATGTCGCAGTGGTTAGGAGTAACCATTGCTCTTCCAGAGGATCCAAGTTCATTTCCCAGCACCCACGCCAGTCAGCTAACAACTGCCTTTAACCCTAGCTCCGGGAGCTCTGACACCTGGCCTCTGTGGGCGCCTGCACTCATGTGCGCATGCACACACAGATATGTACATAAACACATAATTTTAAAATAATCTTTTATTAAAAAGAATGTGGCTGTGCATGGTGGGTTCAAGATCAGCCTGGACTTCATAGTGTGCTCCAGGCTAGCCAGGATTGTATAATAAGACCTTGTCAAAAAAAAAAAAAAGGGTGGTCAGTATTTAAGTTTTTCTTTGTACTTGGGTGTAATGGTGGCTTGAATGATGGGCTCATATGTTTGAATACTTGATCTCTAACTGGTGGAACTGTTTGGGAAGGATTATAAGGTGTGGTCTGTACCAGGCTTTTTCTTTTGGGTCACCAACTCCCAAATTATGTCCTGGAGACTTATTACTAGTTATGAACGCCTTATGCTTGTCCCACTAGCTCTTATAACTTAGCCTGTTTCTCTTCATCTGTGTTTTGCCTCAGGGCTTTTTACCTTTCCTTTTTTTTTTTTCTTTCATGTTTTATTCTGTATCTGGCCGGCTGGCAGCTGCCTGGCTTCTGGCCCCAGGTATGTCCTTCTCTTTCTGCCTCGTTCTCTCCTCCTCTCTCTCCTTCTGAGCCTAAATTTCTCCTCCAACTTATTCTCTCTGCCTGCTAGCCTCGCCTATCCCTCTCCTGCTTAGCTATTGGTCATTCAGCTTTTTATTAGACCAATCAGGTGCCTTAGGCAGGCAAGGTGAAACAAATGCAACCTCTTTACATAGTTAAGCAAATGTAACACATCTTTACCTTGTTAACAAAGGCAGCAGAAACAAATTTAACAGTGTTATCTTTACACAGTTAAATATTCTAACATAAACAAATGTACCAAACCTTTACACAGTTAAATATTCTCTAACATAAACAAATATAACACACCTTTACACAGTTAAAATAATATTCTCCAACATAAACAAATGTACCACACCTTTACATAGTTAAATATTCTCTAACATAAACAAATGTAACACACCTT